TATTAATATTTTTAAGGCATTCAATATTTCGGCCTTTCATGAATGAAGAAACAAGTCTCTGAAAAAGAAATGTAAACGTTTCAAGTTCAACACAAATTATACAAATCGAAATCCATTTAAAAAGTTTTTTGTAAATGCATATTTTAAGTTAAATTATTACAAAGGATGTAATATTCAACACTACAATTTGAAGATGTTTTCAAATCCATTTTTCTAAATAGAGATTTAAAAACCACATTGCATACATTTGATCATAGGTAAATTTTCTTACCAAACATTTTAAAATATTATTTATTTTTTCCACTTTCCTTTTCTTAACATCTTTTTTTTTATCCCTTTTAAAAAAGATTACATTTTCTAGCCAATGAGAGAACTGTTTACATCTGAAAAGCAACTGTGATTGGTTTAACTTGGTTGTCAGTGGGCTTGGGGAACAGAAGGGACACCAAAATATTAAATGGAGAGTAAGGTAGGAACAAAATGGAATTTTAAAAATGAAAAAGCAAGGTGGAAATGGTGACCGTGCCCAGATATCTGTATATCTTTCAGAACATACCCATTTTTCTGTCTAAAAGTGTTTCTTTTAAAAGATTTGATTCAATTATTATTCCCTTTGTTTGGGGATACAAATAACTTTGCATAAGTAAGAAGCAAAAGAACTGGGCGGACTGGCACTCCCTCTATTTCAACATTACTACTGGCCAGCTAATGCATGAGGGCTTGTTTACTGGCAACAACCTAATAATACTACCCCAACATGGCTGGCTATAGAACAGGATATCACTGGTAAGTGAGGAAAATAAGTATTTAAACACCCTGCTATTTTGCAAGTTCTCCAACTTGAGGTCTGAAACTGGCATCGTAGGTACATGTCCGCTATGAGAGACCTAATCTAAAAGAAAACCCAGAAATCACAATATTATTAAATGATTTATTTTTATGATTCAGCTCCAAGTAAGTATTTGAACACCTGAGAGAATCATTGTTAATTATTGGAAAAGTAGCCTTTGTTTGTAATTACAGAGGGCAGATGTCTACTTTAGTTTTTCACCAGGTTTGCACACACGGCAGAAAGGATTTTGGCCCACTCCTCCATACAAATCTTGTCTAGATCAGTCAGGGTTATGGGCTGTTACTGAGAAACACAGAGTTTGAGCTCCCTCCAAAGATTCTCTATTGGGTTGAGGTCTGGAGACTGGCTAGGCCATGACAGAACCTTGATATGCTTTTTTTATAGCCACTCCTTGGTTATCCTGGCTGTGTGCTTTAGGTCATTGTCATGTTGGAAGACCCAGCCTCCTCCCATCTTCAGTGCTATGAGGGAAAGAGGTTGATCCCCAAAATCTCACAATACATGGCCCCTGTCATCCTCTCCTTAATACAGTACAGTTGCTCTGTCCCATTTGCAGAAAAACACCCCCAAAGCATGATGCTACCACCGCCATGCTTCACAGAAGGGATGGTGTTTTTGGGATGGTACTCATCATTCATCTTCAATTCTTCCAAACACGTTTAGTGGAATTATGACCAAAAAGTTCCATTTTGGTCTCATCTGACGACATGACTTTTTCCTACGATTCCTCTTGATCATCTAAATGGTCATTGGCAATCTTAAGATGTGTTTTTACATGTGCTGGTTTAAGCAGGGGAATTTTCCATGCAATGCATGATTTCAGACCATGACGTCTTAGTGTATTAGCAACAGTAACCTTGGAAACGGTTGTCCCAGCTCTTTTCAGGTCATTGACCAGCTCCTCCCGTGTAGTTCTGGGCTGATTTCGTAGCTTTCTTTGATATTCCACGAGGTGAGATCTTGCATGGAGCCCCAGTCCGAGGGAGATGGACAGTCATGTTTATCTTCTTCCATTTTCTAATGATTGCTCCAACAGTGGACCTTTTTTCACAAGCTGCTTGGTAATTTTCCCTTTCCAGCCTCGTGGAGGTTACAATTTTGTCTCTGGTGTCTTTGGACAGCTCTTTGGTCTTGGCCATAATGGTAGTTGGATTCTTACTGATTGTATGGTGCGGAACAGGTGTCTTAATGCATTTAACAACCTCAACCAGGTCCATCTAATTTAGGATAATTAATGGAGTGGAGGTGGACATCTGAAGGCAGACAAACAGGTCTTTGAGGGTCAGAATTCTAGCTGATAGACAGGTGTTCAAATACTTATTTGCAGCTGTATCATACAAATAAATAGTTAAAAATCATATATTGGGATTTCTGGATTTTTTTTAGATTATGTTTCTCACAGTGGACATGCAACTATCATAACAATCTCAGACCTCTACATGATTTCTAAGTGGGAGAACTTCCAAAATAGCTGGGTGTTCAAATACTTATATTCCTCATGGTACCACCCTCCCTGCACTTCTTAATAAAACAAAGAGAAGTCCTGGGCCACTTGAAGGCTTGGTCTGATAGTAGAAAGGTGAAGGCCTGTTTAATCTGAGAGTAACCAGTAATATTGACAATACTTTTGCCTCATCTGACCAACTGAATTTTATTAGTAATAATCTCACTTTTTTCAGGTACCTGCAGATCGGGACCTATATTTGAGCAAACGTTTTACAATTAGTTATACAGTTTCCCAAACAAAATCTACTCTGCTCTAACAAAGGAACCTGAGACCAAAGAGCTGGTGTCCTTGTTTGTAAATGGATCTGCAGCTCAAACTGCTCCAAGTGCATAACATCTGAGAGTGTTGGGTGCTGTTCTCACCAGATCAAAACTCTTAGCCACTCAAAGGTTCTGTCAATCCAGTATTGCTTAGAAAATTCTTCTTAAAGTCTGGAACAATGATATTTCCAAGCTCTGGGGCTTGGCTTGATGAGCTCTCAAATACTCTACATATTGAAAAAAATATGATCCCAGTTATCAGGGACATCAGATGGACTATCAGACATGTCAACCATTTCTCAGCGAAGAGGGCCCTCATGACCTTTCGATGTTTTTTTTTTCCCTCAAGTCTTTGGGAGAAAGGGTGGGAAGAAGGGGATAATTGTTTGGGTCGTTATGTATTTCAATACAGTATTTAAAAGAAAAGAAAATGCAAGGTGAAAAATGAAACAGAAATAGAAAATGAACTGACTTTTTAAATATTTTATAAAAGTAAAAACGAATAATGTTTTTTAAATCTAAATTCAGAAATAAAATAAAAAAATACAGTTTTAAACTACAGTACTTAATAACTGGCTCACAAATACAATGATTTCAATTTTAAATTAGCAAAAAAAGCTTCCCAAATTGGATTTCAGTAATTCTCCTGGTCCTACATATTCAGGCTTTTAGCTTTTTCAAACCATCTAAAACTATTCCACTTTTTTGGCATCCAGATATCCTACATGGGGTCACTGTATTTAGAGCTAAGTCCCTTTAATTGTCAAGGTTTGATTATTAGTTTATACAGCCCAGTAATAGATTTAATGTGTGCGACTGCTCATATACAAATGCACACATACAAACATATATATAAATATATTCATAAAGTTATCAATATGGTGAAGTCTTTAAATACATCTACCCATCTTTTGTGAATTATTCTGAAATCCTGATGGTATGACCACAAAGCTTCCTGTTGGTGTGATGTCTGTATGTACTTTAGTCTGGCTGCTGTATCCTGCCACAATAGAATCAAGTCCGATTTTTGCCAGCAAGCCATCTGCTCGTCACCGCCCTGCTCCACCGTGCGATGGATGTGTAAATGTTGATTATACTTGCTTGCATATTAGCGGAGCAGAGCCACATGCGCTTTAAAGACTGGGACCTAGCATTTGAAACTACTTTTTTAAAAATATGGAGAAAAGGGACAAAAACAAACAAAAAAAATGCTGCAGGGGTGCCTCAAATAAGGTGGATCCAAAGGAAACACTTACTCTTGCAGGATCTTGCTGTCGGTGGTTTGAGGATAACCAAAGTCCATCAACTCATCCATCAGCTCATATATGATCACAAAGTTATCTCTAATGCTCTCTTCCTCCAACTCCTTGAAATACTCCGAAAACACCTAAAAAAAAAAGGAAAAATATAGCTTTACAGGACAGCACAATGTTCACATTTATATTTACAATATAAAGTGCAGCTATACACCAAACCCAGCAAAGCTTTTTTCATACCTGGACAATTTTGTACAAGAAGGAGAAAACCAGAGACACACTGGCATTTTTCTTGGATGTTGCGACCACTGATGAAAAGCGAGTCAAAGAAGTAAAAACACAAACTGTAAAATAATTCTTCACAAATGTTCTTGTGTGGAAGAATGAAAAAAACAAACAAACAAAAAAATATATATTTGAGCACAAACAGAGCAGTTTGAAGGGTTAGGATACAGTAAAGATTATTGTGTTTGATCCACATGAAACGGACGCCTCCGTGAGCCAGGATGGGGGACAGCGTCCCCTCCTCTTCTTTGTCCATCAGAAGGGTCATGAAGTGTTCAATCTCAGACATGTCCACATCTCCTCTGTAATTTCGACACACCAGGACCTAAAAGGAACAACCAGATGACGCATTCAGCCGTACATGATGAAACATCACCATGACTACCACCATATTAGAAATTAAATGAAACCATCCGCTTACTGACCTTTTCTGCTACATGATGTTCTGTGACTAAATATCGGAGGCTTATCAAAATATATTAAGGTATTCACTATTCTCTTTAAACTAACAATGCACTACTCTATTAATTACAGTAGAGATGCATCAAAAAACTTTTCCTGGATTATATTAACAATAGATTTTCTTTGGGATCTGGCCCGCAGATTTTGACCAATTCACATTTTACCAGATTACACCTGTCGAACAAGGCGAAATAGGCTTCAGCCGATTGGTGCATCTCTAATTGATCAATGTTTGTTGATATGTCTATGAAGAACATTAAGATTTTAGTCATTTCTGACATCTAGCTCCCGGCTCATGTTCAGGATGGCAGGTAACTAAAGCCTTACTTACGGGAAAATGATTAGATTTCCTCAAAGATACTTTTTTTTTTTTTTTTACAAACTGGTACTTTATAAAGTGCTAAATATGTTTACAACGTTTAAACATAACCTGAAATACACTGCTCAATTTAAAAGCTAACTGATTGCCTTGTTGCTTTGCGTTACACAGCACCAGCCAATAAAAACATGAGAGAGATTGTTGACGGCTGTTGAATTACATGTAGCCGAGGTAAACTGATAAAGTGGTTAAAGCACCGTCTCTGAGGCCATCCGCATCACACAGGATCAAACCCCAATTTCTAAGAGCTTAGTACCATTCTTAAAAACTTCAGGGTCTGTCAGGTTCCTCTCAGAATTGTACTGCTAACAGCATCAGTGACAAGAAACCCACAAATTCTGCAAAAAACGTAAACAAAAAAGCAGGAAGAAATAATAATAATAGCACAGAAAACTGACACTACCTGAATGCCACTGTTTACTATGGACATCCAATCATCCCTCTCTAATGACATTTTAAAGAAAGAGAAAATCCCTTCGGCTAAATGCTTGTGATACACCTCAGGATCTTTCTAGTCCTTTACCATTTCACTGTATAAAAGCTCAAAGCACAGGAATAGAGATGAGAGGGATAAACTGAGTCTGACCAATTGATCTGATTCTTTCAGAAAATATTTCTTTTATAAGATTTTCATACACAAACATATTTAAAGTTTATAGAGACTTGTGCAAAGAAAAATAAAACTTTGGACAAAACTCACAAAGTCAAATGACAGATTATTGTCCTGCATTCAGGTGCAGACCCAGCCACATAAAAATAAAATGACTGAATACTATATTAAAATAAAAAAAATATTAATATTAGCTCATATCAAAAGGCTTATTAGGTATTTTTAAAGCTACATTTTTTTTTTACCTTAAAACGTGTGTGTGTGTGTGTATATATATATATATATATATATATCACTGTATTATTACTAGATAATATTCTGCTGTTATTAGTAATAACACAGTACATACATGAGGATAAAGTATGTGTTGACATTAGTTTGAAGGGAAACACTTTCTCCTTCACAATCTGAAGCATTCTTGTGCAAAAACCACACGTTTTCCTCAGCGTTTAACATTTATTTTATAGGTAACCGTTTTAACAAGCTGTATAAAGAGGAGGCCAAATAAACTATTTGCCTTTAAGCTGCGAAAATATTAGAAAAAAAGTCCAAGCCATGGGTGTTATATTCTCACTGCGGTAACAGCTGGTCACCTGATTCATTATTCACTGGGATTAAATGTGCTTAAAATTAGGGCTAAACAACCAAATAAATTAGTGCTTACGTTTCTTTTGTTTCTGTCTATTTGGGTATAAAGCATTATACTCGGTCACAGGGTACATCTATATTTTTCCCAAAGACCGGTATTTGTCCTCTCCGGACGGAGCCACACTGTAATCTGTCAACGGAAAAATGTAACCTGCTAGCTAGGCTACAATTAGCTTAGCAGTGTAGCTCGGTTACATCTTACCTTCCCTTTCAAGTCCAACACATACACCGCACTGGCCGACATCCTGAACCAGCTTTACACGAGCTCACTTCGGCTCGTTATACTATCTCTTCTGATCAATAAGTGATATTACTCGTTTACAAGAAACATAAAAAATCTGTCTTTTCATTCATAATACTGAGAAGAAGACGATCCTTTCCCTTTTCCGGACATCCGCGGTACACCTTGAGAACGAGCGCCCCCTATAGGACAAGAAGACCTATATCCAGAGCTATACAGAAGGATCATACTGCCGTGCTGTAAACATTTGCTTCTCACTAGTATAATTAAATAGGCTAATATGTTTATATCTCTATCTATACTATTCCTTAGTTTTAATCTATAGCAAGAGATAAATATATGATTTAACCCTTTATAGGGTTCACTCAGTTAAATACTTTGATAATCAAAATTTCAAGCCAATTGGATATTCAGGACAAGACCTTATTACCTTTGTAACATTAAAAAAATATCAATATTTTGAAGGCAAAAATTATTGTTAATGTAATAACAAGAAACGCCAACTTGCCCGAAATTAATGAAAAACACTTTAGAGTGAAAAAAAAACTCATTTTTTGGTACAGCATAACCAGAGGCATTAATGCTGACACTGACACTTACATTTTTCTAGTTTATAAACCTAAATATAATTTTTATCTTTACTTTTTAACTTTTTGAATTCGTTTTTTTTTTTTACCTTTTCTTCTTCACTTGTTTTTTCCAACTTAATTTACAGTAGGTAATATACCATTCAAGGGCTCATCTAATTGGTCAAATGCCAAAATAAGATGTCATGTCACTTCCATGTAGCAGTATTTTTGCTGAATGGCTGGGTATAGATCGTGCTTCTAGACCTCACTGAGTGACTCCATTTGTAAGGGGTATGCAAGTGATCAAAAGCGGTAACTTGCCCTATTAAATGATTAATATGAGACGGCACTGTATGAATGATATGAGCTTTGTAGGAGTTGAATTTGCATCCAAATGTTTTAATCTTGCAATTTTATCAGCTAATAAATTATGATTCTCTTAACCAAAGCAACTTATCCTCTATCTGTTACTCTTAAACTACGAAGTACTGTAAACACGAGAGGCAGGGTGAAAAGGTCCTCTGAAACTTAAGTACAAGTGTTTTCTTCCAAATGGATCTCAGAATATAAAACTAATTTTAAATCAGTTCTCAAACTACTATGGCGCATGCTGAGCTGGTAAAACAAACCATGATAAGAAATGCTTCCTCTAAAGTTAGACATCATTAGTCAGTCAATAGATTCTTTGGGAACATGTTTGTGCAGAAACCTTAGAGCTGACAAATGTTGGCATGCTTACTTTGATTGACAAATGTGCCAGTCTGGTGATATCACACAGGTGTTACACAGGGTTAGTCACACATGTGGGGATTGCTACAGCACACTGTGAAAATCAGGCAGGCATGATTGTCTTGTGACATGGACTGAGTTCAAGTGTTCATGTGAGCAAAAGTGGATGTGTAGATGTTCCCACTATTGCAAACAAACTGGAGCAGCTTGTGCTCTTCATGAAGGAACTCTAGTCTGTTCCATCATCCCAAATAGTTTGTAATTTATACTTAGCGGGACTGTGAGTCTACTCCCAAGACGATACTGTGGCGTTTGGGGGAGTTTTTACCATAGAAGGCGAAGAGGGTTTAGCAATGATTTCCTGTGGGAGGGTTCTTATTTCTCTCACTCCCCTTCTGATTCACCCCGTCTCTTTGTGCTTCTCCTATCCTCCCAGTGTTTCCTCTTCCATTTATGCTCTAAGCCCTTTTAGTTATTGGAGTAAAGGTCTGAGGAAAAGTATTTGCTGCAGTACATGTCATTTCCTAAAGTTTTTATTAAAACCATAATTCAGGCACTGTACAATTTAAACGTCATCAAACTGTCAGTACTCTGCTCATCTCTGGTTGGAAAACTGTTTCCCTATTCTGTTAAGGAGAATTATTAGTCTTATATTAATCATAACATAAACTTCAGTTCAGTTTACTTATATAGAGCAAATTCACAACGCATGTCATCTCAAGGCACTTTACAATTCAACCAGATCATACAGTCAAATTGATTCAGTTTTCTATCTAAGAAAAAACAGTTGTTTGCATTGACTCTTTGATTCGAAGGCAATCCCTCACATTAAGCATGCTTGTAGCGACAGTGGAGAGGAAATACCTCCCTTTTAACAGGATGAAACCTCCAGCAGAACCAGACTCAGTGTGAGTGGCCATCTGCCAAGGCCAACCGAGGTTCAAGGAGACAGAAGCAGACATACAGAAAGAAGCAGAGATACAAAAGGCAGCTGACATGCGGCCTTAACAGAGCTGTTATTGGTTGTTATTATATTATACTTCCAGCTAAAGAACTCTAAAGTGCCAAAATTCTATAGCTTAAAAAAAAAAAAAACAATTGAATGATCTCATTGAGCATTTACAAAATGTAAAAAAAATTATTTAAAATTATTTTTTCATTTTATAATAAATAACTATTTAGGATGAAAATATATACAATTAATACCTCAGGGATGTAGATTAAGCCTTTTATGTTGGTGTTAACCGCTAACACTGTTCTTGTCGGTACCGTCGATCTGAACTGGACTAGCAGTGCAGGTTAACCAATCAAATGCAATGGCAATAGCATATTTGCACGAAAGATTGTGGGTAGGCCACTCATTATGCTGCAAACTACACCCTACACCCTAATTACTTCCCTTTAGGGCTGCTCTTATGATGCAAACATCCACAAAAACAGACATACGTCGTAAAGATGCCACTTCTTTTCTAATTTCAGGTTAGGCCTTACTGATAATAGGCCTAGGTCACTCTAACAAAGGGAAACAAAAAAGTGAAACAATAACCTGCGCCACACCTCAGATAGCCAGCTTGTTTTCCCACATTTAGTAGCAAGTTGAGGTGACATTTCAGACTTTATGCACATGCGTTAAAGCAATAAAAAGTTAATTAGGGCACAAATGACAGATATAAAATGTCTATTTTTGTATGTATATTTTAGTTGAGCTCCCCCCTTTACTTCTACCACCCCAATACTCCCCATGAAGCCCATAGAACAACCGACCTGGGTGCTAAGGGTATATATGAAGACCCACAATGATACTGTAGCTTTATTATGATAGATTGAATGTATTCATACTGAATTATTTATGACAATCATGTAAACTACTTACTTGTAATTATTCGTGTTAGGTTAAAAGCATGGATTAATTTATCCCTGTATTTATTGTACATTGATATCCCCTCATTTATTTTTTATAATTATACAAAAAACATGTAATTTATCATTCTAACATATTTTACAAAGAAGGCTATGACATATTGGTATTAATCTGATTTGGGCCCACTTTACTTTTATCCAACAAAAATACATAAATTGCAATCAAAAGGTAAAACCAATAAAGAAATAATTTTATGCAGGCTTAGACAGGACAAGGAAAAAATAATAGAAAAGCTAAATAAGGGTTTGGTAAGAAAAATATACTAACAGCCAAAAATGTTAGAGGCTGTCCACCTGAACTGATAGAATAGAGGATCGAGGATAAGCAGAGATTGATAGCTCAGGTGAGACAGTCAGTCAACAGGACAATAATTAGACATTTCTAGTTTGGCACAAACATGTAGGGATCTCAGGGGACACACAAACAATGACCCTACCCATTTAGCCAGAAACAGCAGAATGATTTAGATCAAAGCACATGAATGCATCAGTGGCCTAGTCAAAATCTGGAAATAACTACTCCACAGATTACAAATAAAAATACAAGAATAAATAACAGAGGTTAGGCTGAAATGTGTTTACATATAGGCCACACTTGTAGATACAGAGCTGGGTAATGAATTAATATCTATATATCGCAAGAGGAAGTAAGCATTATTGGAAGCAGGGCTGACCTATTTTCAAAAGTTGTTGGGCTGTGGTTACAAATTAAATTCATGTTTCTTTCTACTTGTTTCAAATAGGTAAACAAAACACTAAGCAATAGCTATCATCTGATATGAAAGTCTTAGCTTGTGATATTTATAATTTTCATTGCCATATCCTACCGCCCTACGTAAAGAGAGAAAAACATGCATCTGTAATAGAAATTTATTAAGTTGGGGCTCAGTGGGTCTGATTATGGATTTATATCATATTTTAAATAGCAGCGCAATCATGATTTGTATATGAATGTATTACATTGTGTAGTTGTATCACAACACAATGTCCTATGTGCTTTGCAAAGTACTTGGAAGGAGCTGCAGTTTTCACCTCTTACTTTTGAGTCTCCTTTAGTTTCCCTTCTGGTCTGACACAATGATCTGCTAATTTGGAGCACAGTTTCAGTTTGAAGAAGTTTTACAAGTGTATATCACTAACTCCTAGAACCAGCCTGGGAAGCTTGCAACATTTTGCATGTTTTTTAATCATTCATCCGAGACCATAAATAAATAAAAGCCTGTCAAACTCCTATTAATTAGCAGGATCCTAATTGGAGTGATTGTGTTTTTTTTTTGTCTTTTTAGCCCGACTGTAACACTCCGCCTGTCTGCTGTGGATGCGGCTTTCAGACTGAATTCGCCCCCAGATTTTCTTTGGCTGGATCATTTTCCACCCAATTCTTTTTTCCTTCAACACTAGAATGAAAACTATGTCTTTTTCTAACCGACTCTGGTATTAACATCATTTTCAGCATTCCAAAGTTAGAGAGCGCAGGCATATAGAAGGTCTAAAGAGCAATGGAGAGAAAAAATAAAACAGTTCTATACTATTAATTATTTCCTTTACGTTTATTAGCTCTAGATTTTCTCACATGTTTTATCTGTTACTCTTCTCCAAATAAGGACATTGCCTGAACATTTACCTAAATGTTTTTACTCCAAAGAGCTCTTGAGAGGTGAAGTTTAGATTAGGGAGTAGGAGGGGGTGGGGGGGTACACAGTAAATTCTGCAGGAGTCAAGTTGGGGAGTGGCAGACGGGGTGAACGGGTGGGAAAGGGCTGTCACGGGGGACTGGGGCTGCCTCCAAACCTCCACTCAAGTTTAAATCACACAGAGCTCAACTGACTCCTGCTTTGCATCCCCCTGTCTCTCTCCTCTTCCATCCGCAAACTGCTCCCTGCAGTCAGCCCGGCAAGAGCTCCTGTGAGGCATCTTCCTTTGAAGGAGAGAAAAAGTAATACATTTCCCCTTTTCTGAGCCCTGCAGGACACCAAGAGCCAACAGTCACTATGGAGGCCATCAAGAAGAAGATGCAGATGCTGAAGCTGGACAAGGAGAATGCCATAGACAGGGCAGAGCAGGCCGAGTCCGACAAGAAGGAGGCAGAGGATAAATCCAAGCAGGTGAGATGGTTGATCTCTTTTCATGTACCAGAATTCAAAAGACATCTTTTTTCCTAATTATGAGCTATTTATGTAAGGAAAAATAAAGATTTAAATACTTAAATATTGAAAAACAGGGGGAAATGACAGTCACAACAAAGCACAAAAATACAGTCAATAATAGTTTTGTATATATTTATGGCATTTTGAAACTGTTTTATGAATTCAGGTTCTCGTTCAGCAACATTATGTATCTGCAAGGGGCAAATTCAAGACTCACCGAGTAATATAATGAATATGTTTGCATAAAACAAGTAAAAAGTTATCTTTTTGATAATTCAAAATCTATGTTATCTTTGATTTATTTACTAGAATTATAAATATGCATCTTTTTATGAGTTTAAATCTTTTTTTTTAAATAAAATAAACGCAAAAAAGTGAAATACTATAACAATCTACCGGTATAAGTAAATAATGCTATGATAGAGGGGCTTTTCCTAGCCAGCAGCTGATACTGAGCCCCCTCTTTTGCATGTTATGTATCCTAGAAGCACAAAAAAAGTTAGATCCACCTTAAATTTATGTGATCGTATTGAGCTAGATAATTATTTGCATCGCTGGAAGCACTCCTCTCCATCAGTTAATCCTCCCTCCTTTTCCATCAATCTTGCTCAGCATCGCTATCTGAACTGAGGTCTTAAGAGAAAACATCACTGATCCCTTATATCCTTATTTGGTGCTGCAGCACACGAGCCTTGGAGAGTCGGACGTTTCCAAGCCTCTGACCTAATGACAGCGTACTTATCTCGCTTCACATAAATAAAGCAGAATCTAAACATGTAATAGGGCATTTAAGGGTTACTAAATGGAGGTAATTATTGCAGAGCTGTGGATGGTGTTGTCTCTGTGGTCCAACTGAAGGAATAAACAGAGAAGAGGTTTGTAAAGCTAAAGGATCCCCATTAAATCAAGTGGAAAGAATCCCTCCATCCCTCTGGAGGCTACTGCTCCTCATCATACCCTCAAAGAGCTCCAGGCGTGACAGTTATCACTGGCACTGCACATATGGACCCTCATCATGTCTTTCACATGAGTGAACATTCAGCTTGAAATTCAAGAAGATCACAGATAGCTCTTTGGTTTACTTAGCATAGCCAAGATGCTAGAGCTGCACCGAGACACTTTATTTGCTATTCTTGGCAGGAAGAGTTGTACACCAGGGTGCAGTCTGGCCAACAGAGAACACTGAAAATATACAGAGTAACATGCAATGTCAACATTCACCACAAAGAGGACTGGGCTCAGACTCCAGTGGTAATTAGAGGAGCGGGTCACCCAAATTACAGAGGAATTCTGAGAATTCCAGGGGCGATGAGTTTGTTCATTAGAAATGCCCCAGTTCCTGCTTATAAACCAAAGCATCAGGGAACAACTCTTCACAGCATGATACAGCCGAATGAGAATGCCTGATAAACATTTACAGAATTTCTTTGTTTTTGAAAATATGTCCCAGTAATAGCGCGGTATCTCAGATTTCCCTAATTCATGTCCTCCATCACCAGATTCAACCAGAGCTATAATTACAGAGTTTTGCTAAACAATGTTTGGTTAATTATCAAATAAATTACAAATAAAATAAAAAAATAAAATAAAAGGAATTCCTCTTAAAGCTTTCCAAGATCTTGTCATGTTTCAACCTATTACCATTAAATCTTAGAGGTTTCTAGTCGTATATCAGGATGGTAATGATAATTTTCAACATTAAAAATATTCCAAAAGAAATGGAAAAGTACAGCATTCATTAGTATTCAGCTCTCCCTATTTGAATGTCCCTAAATAAAAAGGAACACATAAGATTTACTTAAAAAATATATTGCAAGTATTTGCACACAAATTTAATGCTGCAATATCAAATAACACTCACTTGCCAGTATCAAGTGAATTTTTTACTTTTACTTTCCATAAGACATTACAGTTGTGAAGATAATAACTAACAGCTACTTAATTACGTTGTAAATTAGATGTATTTAAACAAATTAAGTAAAGTGTACTTGCTTTTTATAGGCACAAACAGCATTTTAATCAAAATTTTAAGTAAATCTTATATCCCTGTAGGATTTGCTGTTACTAAGTAATTAAGTAGATATTAATTATTTTCTTGTGCTTGACATTTGACAGTCTAACTGGAATTCATCCATCCATTTTCTGTCACGCTTAATCCCAATTGGGGTCGCGAAGGGTGCTGGTGCCTATCTCCAGGTGTCTATGGGCGAGAGGTGGGGTACACCCTGGACAGGTCGCCAGTTTATCGAAGGGAACCACAGAGACAAACTGGACAAACAACCATTCACACCACACTCACACCAAATGAGAATTTAGAGAAGTCAATTAACCTAACAGTCATGTATTTGGACTGTGGCAGGAAGCCAGAGTTCCCAGAGAGAAACCATGCATGCACGGGGAGAACATGAAAACTCCTAGCAGAAAGACCCCCGGCCGTGAATCAAACCCGGAACCTTCTTGCTGCATCCACTGCCACATTTGATGCCACATTTTTCCTACCCTAAGATGACAAAGTCATGAATGCATTTAGGAAAGCAACTTTAACTTTTGGGGACAGTTTAAATCCAATCAACAGGGTATGCCGAGTTCAAGGTATACATCAGTCCCATGTGCAGCAAGCGGGCTTTTGCAGTATTGTTGCACCCTGCCAAAATGACTGTCTTGCGACTACGTCTTGCTCTGTGTGTGATCCAGACGTCTGGACAGAATCAGTCCTGCTGCGAGCTACATTGATCATCCGCTGTGCATGCGTTTCAAAATGGTGCATTTTTAGAGTAAAGTTTATGTAGTATTTTTAGGTTTATGTACATACTGCTATTAAAAATTTAAATAGTATAAGGATATCTGAGTAAAATTTACTCTTTCCCCAAAATTCATTTATTACATTAAAAAAGGTTTAATTTTACTTCAGAAACTCTAGTTTTTACTAAAGCTTAAAAATACAGAGTACCGTAGAAATTATGACGAATACTCTAATGGAGTTTACTGCAACAAAAAGTCACTTTTTTCAGTGTAGAAAGTTTTACACATTTCTCTTTAAACAAAATGCTGAAGAGCATCTTTAAACAAGTTTCAAAATTCGGCACAGGTTCCCTCTTGGATTTACGTTCCTTTCTTTGACTCCTTCATTTTGACTAATGTTTAGGGTTCTTGTTTATATGAAAGGTACATTTCCAACCCAGAAGATCTTTTGTGATAACTAACCGGCATTCAGCAAAGATAGCCCTGAATTTAGCTCCATATATCTTCCAATCAAGCCTTTCAGAGTCCCCGTTGTTATTGAAGAAAAGCAATCCAAAGTATCATGCTGCCACAAGCATATTTGTTACATGGCAGTTTAAGGTGATGAGCCAAGTTAGTTCCCTCCCAAATGCTGCGTTTTCTGACCAGATAGTTCAGTTTTAGTTCCATATCATATATATCCATATCTGGGTTAAAAGAAAAAATGTGAAAAAAAAGAAAATTACACTTTTAATATTTGATTGCCAATAAAAAACAACGTTGTTTTCCTTTTAATTTTTGCAGTGTTATCCTAATATGTGTTGTTTAATCTGTCAAATAAAATCTTGTTAATACACGTGTGGACGCTATACATAAAAAAAAAAATGAATAGCTCCCAAAAAAACAGCAACAAAAAATGATAGTTGTGACACTTTATTGTTATTAAATAAACAGAGCAAAGGCATTGTTTTCTCAGTAGGTTTATGTAACCTTTCTTTTGTCTCAGCTGGAGGACGAGCTGCTGGCTCTGCAGAAGAAGCTGAAAGGGACAGAGGATGAGTTGGACAAGTTCTCCGAGGCCCTGAAGGATGCTCAGGAGAAGCTGGAACTATCGGAGAAAAAGGCTGCAGATGTGAGTTAACCACAGCGTCCCTCACCATCTGAAACTCATTAATCACCCTACCATCACAACCTTTGGGTTTCCTCCCTGTACAGTATCGATATCCACTCTCACAGATGGACTTTACTGAGCAACAGTCCTTTAATGCTAAGCAAAAGAGGAGCAGAAAAAGTTTCCTATTTTGAGTGTGCTTTTTTACTAACCAAACCACAAAAATCATATATGTAAAGTGACAAAAGAAACATGGATAAGCCAAATACTTTAAGTGTAGAGGCTATGAATAATGAGGTCAAAAAAGGAAGAAAAAAAAAGAATTATGACAACAATTTGTTTTCCAAAGAATTGCCAAAGAATCTAAAACTTCTTATTTCATCAATCTTTTCAGCTCAAGTGTTAAAAAAAAAAAAACCTACACTTTATTATAAAATGGGAGACATCTATCTTTTAACCCAGCCATTTCTGGGAAGTTACTGCTGCCTCACCAAGGCCGCTAACTGAGCTGTTTCTCAAGCAGAGACAAAACTTGGCCAGCCTGTAGCCGAGCAGGAATGTCAGGAATGCAGCTTAAGCAAACAGAGAACCCCAGACTGCAGTGTCTAATGAAATCAATGCTTTGGCCTTTTTAGGGGTGGAGATTTAACACTGGGTCCAGCCTACACTGCGGACCATTTAATGGCAGCCGGCTTTTAAAGAGCAACTTTGTTTCCCTCTTATATGCGTTGCATGTACCATCTTTGATTATAAGGGATAGAATCCAATAAGGAAAAATCTTAATTGAAACCACAAGTGTTACATAACAGCACTGGAGGCAGGCCTGCTTAGTCTGCTCATAAAAATAAAAACACTGAAATAACATAGGATGCAAAGGAAAAGATTAGCACAATCACAATTATAAAATGTTTAATATCTGAGATCAGTAAAAAATGCGAAATGTAACAGAGGCTAATTATTTTCTAAAATGGCAGACGCCGCCACACAATGTGAACATTGGGGATATAATGTATTTCTAGGTGTACTCTGATGCAGCTAACCTGGATCTTGATAAATGCAGCAGGTGAGAAAATGCCTCAAAGTTTCAAACCAGAGAGTTTTAGGCCATTGTGATCAGATGACATCAGGTGTGTTCTGCTAATGGTTTCTACTGCCATACCCTGAGGGAGCTGAAGCATGAAAACCCTTAGCAGAAGGTCAGAGGGGGACGATAAATCCAAAGTGAGCTTTAAGGAGGAAAAGAAAAGGGCTACGGAGAACCAAAACTGTCTGAATCAAAAATCAATGCATAAATTAAGACTATGCCAACAGATCATAACATTAACAACAGGAATTTGACATGTGAAAATTTATCCATAAAAATTGTGGACATGTTTATTTTTTATGTTTGTTTTCGATTATGGATGGAAGTGAGGACTGAATAGCAACTGTTGCATAGCAGATACCGACTATTAACTTCTTTAAATACCGTCATCGTAATTGGTTAATGGCCTGTACTTATATAGTACTTTTTTAAGTCAGGGGACTTGACCAAAGTGCTTTACACTATATTCAACCATTCATGCACACACTCACACACTTGTCCACTAACATCTACCCGTTTATATCAGTATAAATCTAACACGTCATGGGGGATCGAAAATATCTATTGGTCCATAGATGAGTTGATAACATATCCATAGATTTAAAACAAGAGGGGCATTTCTTTAGTTTTAAACAATACTTTTGGAAAAAATAGACCAGAAAAATTAACAATTTTCAAAGATTCTAACAGAAATAAAGAAAAGCAAATACTAAAAAATATTACCGTATGTAAAATTACATTTTAGCCAGAGTAGAAATTGTCATAAGTCAATGGTACTTATGGGGTGTTGGAGTTTATGCATGGTGCATATGAAATGTCTAGAAACAAACAGGTTTCATACCTGAATAGTACAAAAACACCACAATTGCAAACAAACTTTTGTGAGCTATACAGTGTTTATAGGGAAACTTTCTAAGAGAGAACACTTAATTCTTATATATTTCTATTTTGTGTAAAAAGAACTGCAACAAAAGGAAATAATTCAGGTAGAAATTATGAAAAAAAGAGTAAAACCTGTTGTAGTTTGTCCTCCAGTTTTGCTTTTTATTTGCACTTTCAGGTTTCAGATAATCAGACTACTTTAAATATTAGACAAATATCACAACAATAACTATAAAGAACATAGTTTTGAAAATGTCATTTCATCTGTTCAGGGATATAAGCCGATCAGCCCATATTTACCTGGCCCTCAAATCTCCTGTGCCACCCATTGCCACAGTTTCTGCTGGCAAGAGTTAGCAGTAATGGAAAATGTTTTACATCACTGTGGAGGAATTTCCCGCACTCTCATGATAGTTTTTAATTCTATTCCCCTGAAGGAATATTAAGAATGGTGGGCCTGCTTGAAGTCATGCCACAGAACCTTGATCAGATTAAAGTTCAGACGTTGATTAAGTCACTAAAACATCATAATCACATCAGAAAGCAGAATTCATGGATCTATTGAGGAGGTTTTCCAGATCACTTAGAACTAAAGCAGGTCCTGTCATGATCTGTTTGGGTTTTTTTCAATCATTGCATGCAGCTGCTGCTTACACTGTACAACTAATCCGCAGGGTTTATCGTACAGTGTGAGTTCACAGCTCACGATTTATGTTCGGCCCGACGCTCTCATGCGATCTACCTGCTCACACTGCACAACTAAAAACCACGTTGGACTCAGCCCCGCAGTGAGTTGCCCTGACGCATCTATCCAGAAGCCAAACAAGTAGAAGGGGAATATTAAGCTCACTATAGTGAAACGCACTGCCTTTGGAATTTGTGCATTTTTGTGCTGAAAGCCCTCAAAAGAAAAGGTGACAACGTATTTGGACAAAGACTTTCTGAGCAAATGTGGCTACTACGGTCTGTCAATTTTACAGAAAGAACTGCATTTCACTCATGCATCACTGCCACGCTGCTAAGTTTACATCTGAGGCCCCGTCCACACGAAGTCAAAACGAACACGAAACGCTGATATTTTCCAAAACGTTTGCCGTAAAGACGGAGACGTAAAATAAATGTGAGCGTCCACACGAATGCATGAAAACGCTGCAAAATGTATGCCAGGCCTGCAAGTGGCGCTGTGGTGCCAAAGCAAAAATAAGCGACGAAATGTTGGGCATGCGCACTAATATTTATACATGGTTGCCCTGCGGGTCCATTTTCGTGGTCAAGTCAAATTCAGGTGCTGAACTATGTCGTCGATATTGCTCTGTTCTTCCTGGAGATATTCCAGAAGAAGAAGATTCTGTTGTAAGCCCGACAGCAGGGTGAGTAGCATTAGCAGCAACTGCGCCATTGTTGTTGTGATACTGTGTCGCGCATGCGTGTTTAGAGGCGACGCTATGACGCATGCGTGTAAAAATAAAATATGCGGTTAGAGCGTAAAGATGGAAACGCGAAAACGGCGTTTCGAAATCTTCCCACTCTGAAGGCTGAATAAAAAAAAGATCGTTTACAGACCCCCGAAACGCCGGCTTCGTGTGGATGAGAGGCTGGTTTGGTGAAAAATTTGTGCGTTTAGGCCAGGGTTCGTCTTTGTGTGGACGGGGCCTGAGAGGAAGAATAAAGAGAAGAATCCTTCTCTGCCCAGGAGGTCCCGACCTCACGATTCCTGATGGGGAGGTGGTCGTGAGAGACTGATCACCGCTCGTTAGAGGCCCACCCACTCCCGCAGTGTTCAGTACCGCAAAGAATTATGATTTTCAGTCCCGCTCCCGCCCGCACCTGTAATAGTTTGTTTGCTCCCGTCCGCAATTCCAGCATGATTCCGCTGTTCGCCTACTGCTCAAGGCAATTTGTGTCATAAGTTTGAGGAATTAAACACACAGTGCTTAGCTGAGCACATTACTGGCAATTCTTCACCACATAGTGCATGATGCGCGTTAGGTTGCACGAACTGCAATATCCAGCACATTGTGGTGTATATATATATATATAGACATTGATTGATAATTCATGACTTTATTTTACATTTAATTTTACATTTTAAAACATGTTTTTAGTTTGTGGGTCTGCCGCTTACCACCGTTCCGCCCGCACCCGCACTGTACGCTCTCCCTCCCGCCCGCACCTGCAATGAGCTTTCAATATTTGTCCCAGCGCCGCACTGCCTTGCGTTGGGTCCCGTGGGACTCCCGCGGGAGTGCAGAGCTCTCCCTGTACACTACACGACTCATGATCAGGCTGAAAATCAGCCCGATCGAAAGATTCTCACACAACTGGAAAATATCGCACAGTGTACGCCGGGCTTTAGAGGGAAAATTGGTAGGGGTAGCCACAGGTGTGGCCAATGATTGGCTAAGGGTATAAGGGCCATGGCCACCCCTTGCCCCCACATATAGCTCTGCCCCTGGTATAAATTATAGATACCTTAACTCATTACGACGTTTGTTGTTTGCTAGTTAACTGAGCATCTTCTTTCTATGTTGCTGTTGAATGTTTTTTTTTTTTTTATTATTCATAAGACCAGTACTTGTTATTTTATTGTGGCACTCCCAGTCTTCCATAGCTGAAGGAGTTTGAGGGGTGTGTTGACCCCCCAACAGGGCTGCGGGTCATGTATGCAAACAAATCAATTTACATTCCATGGCACAGGTCAGCAACCCCAGATGAGTGGGATTATCACCGCCCCACCCAACTACTTCTCTTCGTTTAAATACATTATTCCTGTGTTTTCCCATTGTTTTCCCCCGGTCTGTACATGAAGCAACCAAGTGAAACCACGCCTTCAATGCAGCGCCTTCTTATCTCACTCTCTCAGTGATCAGAGCAGGAACATACACCTTGTTTGCCTTATAAGTCCATAATAGAAAAACTTCCACTCCTTTTTTTTCTAGGAGGAGGAAAAATTTTAGTCCCTTCCCCTCCTGAAAGCTGTGATGTCATCCCAGACTGGTTTCTTTACGGGGATTGGAGGATCTCGCCATAAATTTCCTGAAACCTCCCAGCCCATTTTCTTTCTTTTTCCTTTTTTTAACTCATCCCATCGTCCCTGATTTCCTGCCAGAGGGAGAGAAAAAAAAAAGCTGGAAACTTCGATTTAACATTCATCTCTCAGCCTCTTATTTCTAAAGTTTTAGTTTGTTAGAGATAAAAGTGAATAATCGCAGTTAATCATGGAGATGGTAAAGAAGAAAATCCAAAGCCTTCAGCAGCAAGTTGATGAAGCAGAGGATCGCGCACTGGAAGTACAAAGGGAGTTGGATACAGAACGGGAACTGCGCGAAAAAGTGAGCTCCTTTATAATTTAACCCAGGATAAAACACTTTGCCTGCTTTTAAAGCTTCTCTTAAACATTTTCTTTTTTTTCTTTTTTGCAAAAAAAGTAAAGATTTCAGAACTACTGACAGAGCAATGGTCATAATGAAAGAGGCATAAAGCAAAGGGAGTGTCTAAACATCCGCCCAGATGTGAATTTGTTACATTTTATTTGTTTTGTTATTGTTTAAACTCAGATTATTCTTCATTGGATGACTTTTTCAAGGCTTTGTTACCTAACTTCCCACCCGCCCCACATCCACGCAGGGACTCTTCCACAGTGGGGTCATTTTTACCACATTATAAGTAGATGTGCAACCTTTTAGGTCTTTTCTATCTGGTACATTTATAACCAACTTTATTATTTTCAAGTTATTATTTTTATATATTTAATAATATTTATTCTTATTAAATTAAGTATTTTCTAAGTACTATAACAGACAAAAACTGTTATGCTGGCAGTGAGGGTAATTTTTGAAAGGAAAGACAAAATTACAACAAATATAACAGCCAAAGCATAATCTATCACTATAGGGATGGTATGGCAATGCTGGTACTGTTAGCAGATGCATTGGTTTAGCCCTATACATTTACTGATTTTAAAATAAAATAAAAAGCAATTTTGTAGTATATGACCTGCCAATAACTGTTTGTAGCATATCAAGAAAAAACTGGCTAATTTTGTTTTAAGTTATTTTAGTTATAACATTTTCTCTGCTGTGATTTGCTTCACTGAAACAGTTTAAGACCTTGGTTCTATAACAGTAAATGTACCACATATTGGGCTGTCTTTACCAATAAATGCTTAAAAACAAAACAAACAAACAAAAAAAATTCTTTCAATTATTTAAATGGTTAATGTGAAGCAAATTAGCTGTAAATGTGAGAGCAAATAGAGGGATAACATTAACACCTGTATTAGCAGATGTTTGTTTAGCAGCCAAAGATGGCCAGTCGAACTATTCTCATAAACTAACAAATAATTACTGATTTCACCCAATGCTTCTACACAACCATTTAAAACTGGGTGAGATGTTATGGACATTCTACCTTCTTGCCATTTCCTACCTTTCAAGGTTTTTTGCATTTTCACATTTTTAGTCAGCAAGTAGGAATTTCTACAGGGATATTTTGTACCTACTATTTCTCAGTTTTTTCCCACCAAGGACCTACTTTGTTATTAAAATTTAGTTCTCATTCCACTGTGGAGAGTTAAGTAATATGGCAATGATGCGTTTTATCTACCAGCAGGTGGTTACCAGCTCAGGGTTCTTTTAGGTAGGAGTCATAACGGAACAACTGTAATCTAATCCAACAAGCCAGATTGGTGATGAGTGGCATTCAGGTTTCTGGGACTGCTCAGATCAAATCCCTTTGAAAAGGTGGAACATTCAACAGGACCTTCTGAGCAATACCTGTGGCCCACCTAACAAAGTGTGGTTTAAGCCAGTCATGGTACCAAATGTCTGTGGGAGCCATGAGAAACCACAAGGATGTATGCTTATAAGGCAACTGCTGCTCCTTTTTCAAAGATTCTGCTACATGATTGGCCGACTCGTTTCAGGTCTGTCACGAACGGTTTAACTCTCTCGAGAATTCGGCTTGCCTGTTACATTGGTTGGCATTTTGATATCAAATGATCTCACTCCACCTGTGAAGTTTACAAAGTAGTTCAGTAAGTGAATAATTCCAAAAACCCCACCTCAGTGGGAACCAAAGAGTTCCACAGCTAACCAAGAACTTCCAGCTATTGTTGCTATGTTGCATTAATCTTTACATAAACCAGCTGTTCTACAACTTTTATGATACAAATTGGCTTTTTGTTGTACTCTATCACCAGACTTGCGTTGTGTTTGATTAATTCATGACGTTAGAATTGGGAATGACTTCTCACCTGAATGAAGTACTGTATATTTAGTTGAACGATGGAAAACTAATTAGGAATTGCAACATATAGTGATGCGAATGTCTGCAAAACTGTAAAATTATGTATCCATAAATTCTTCCTATTAACACAATACAGGTACGTTATCATTAATAAAGCTTGTATAGCATCATGTGTAGAAAAAGCTTGATAAAATAAGCTACTGCTAGAGATCTATGTAAAACAATAGTTACAACTTTCCCCTGTCATATTAGAGTTTTGAATTTTGGGGTTGCTAAGACACTCCCCAGTTTCCCATTTAAGGATTTTAGCTTCTGGTTCTAAGTGGGAAACCCTACCTTACATATTTCAAAGAGAAGCACAACATCCTACTATTGGTCATGTGTTTTAAATGACTTAAAACGCAACAAATATTGGTGGCAGGTAATATTATTTGTGTGAAAGTTTGACCAGATTATTTTATTACTGCCACTGTTACCTTGCTTTAATCACACCTGATATATTGGAATTATATCAGATGTGTAAAGTTAGGTTTTGGTTAGAAACGGCGGTCTCTCTCCGAGTTTGGACTTTTTATTTATTTATTTTGCAATATGGTTAAAAATGTAGGTACAATTTCCTCTGTCTTGTAAAGACCCATGAGTTGGAGTAAGTCCAATCCCTGTAGTACTGTGTGTAAAAATTAATAAATAAATTAAAAAAGTTTTAACATTTCATGGGTACAAGGAACACTATTTAGTGACATGATATGTAAAGACAGAGGGCCAGTATTTTAAGGCTTTAGGAAACAGTTTTACTCCTTTTTTAACATCCATAAAGCCTTTGTTCCCTTTTCTTCCTTTAACCCCTTTTTTTTTTACTAAACCCAATTTCACACACAGCCTCTCTGGAAACGAAGATTCTGTTATTCTTCCTCCTCCTCTTCAGTCTTCACACAGGAAGGAGGGAACAGACATGGTTAACTGAGATATCAGGCAGACAGGAAACGTCCGCCTGACAGGAAAAAGGTTGTGAAGAAGCTACGCAGCTGAAGCTTTTCACATTGTTAGGGTTTAATGAACGCTCTGTTTTTCAGCATCAGCACTTTTCTTTTTCAAAGTCCCTGCTCAGGCTGCAAAGTCCAGAGCTTTTTATGAAAAGCAGAACGGAGATAATTCTTCACAAAAGAATAAGTGAGACAGCATGACATCATGAGAAAAGAAATACAATTCCTGCTAAATTTCATAAAAGTGTTAGTTTTTTAAAGGACTATTACCTAAAACAAAATGTATTTAGGGGACCTTCGGTTTCCACACATTATTTAAGGGACTTCCTCCAATAAGAGAAGGAAAAAGTAGAGCAGCCAGCTAATCGGCAGTGCACAGGAACAAGTGGGGAAAGGGCATTGCTGCATTGCTCAGGAACGAGTCATGTCACTAGGAAGCCTTCTCTGGCTGCTCATCAAAATATCTTAGAGCTGCAGGAATCAGCTCCAGAATAACTACTTGTTTTTATGTAACTTATCAGAGAGAACCAATAAATAACAGATGTATGATGAAATCTGCAGACTCCATTTCCCAACATCTGGCACCCCTGTGCAGAGAGCAACAGCATCCCTATTATAGACCCTCAGCGGGTCTAATGATTGGATGGGAATGTTTTCAGCTTTGAAAGCAACTCTTTAAACCTTGGTTCTGCCTTGATACTGAAAACAGCCTCATCATGTCTCAGTTTGTTCCTCATTTTGAATTTCTACTGAATGCATGTGATGTAAGGGGATTTAAGCAGAGTGTTTAGGCCTCTCACACCTCCATGCAAGTCAGGACAGACCACAGTCAAGCTTGTATTTGCTGGAATGAAGACGTCCTTATGCCTGGAATTTTATCAGATGTTGCACAAAGAAAGCTGAGAATCACTTTCCCTCTCCTGGTGGCATTAGCAGGAAAACTCAAATGTCTGTGAAGCGTCCAAATATGAACTTTTCTTGGCAATTTAATCTTTTTTGCCTGTTTAACTCTGTCAAACGCTCCATAATATCTAAATAAATCACAGTACTTCAACATGTCATTACAGCTGCATCGTTAATATCCTGCACTGGATGTTTTCCATCTGAACTTTGACCTCTAACAAGTCTCTGTCTATTTCTTCTCTGTCTGGCTGAAGGCCGAGGGCGAAGTGGCCTCTCTGAACCGACGCATCCAGCTGGTGGAGGAAGAACTGGACCGAGCCCAGGAGAGACTGGCCACGGCCCTGCAGAAGCTGGAGGAGGCAGAGAAGGCTGCGGACGAGAGTGAAAGGTACAAAAGACACAGACCTACACTGCTCAGAAGTTATTAGTTACAGAGACAGAGAGTTGGTTGTATTTTGGGGAACAGAACAGGAGAAGAAGGAAAATCTAGTTGATCAAACTTAAGCATGTCTTGGACAATTGTCGGCAAGGCAAGTTTATTTATCTAACAATTAAATACAAAGTCAATTCAAAGTGCTCTACATGAATTAAACAAAGAAATTGAAGAAAATAAAAACAATAAAAAGCAAATAAACATAAAGAATACGATTAAAGCAGGTAGAAAGAAATATAACAGCATGACCACAACCTTAAACTAATAATACACCAGTTAATAGTTTAACTTCAACAGTCAAAGGCAGTTTTAAACAAATATTTTTTTTAATTTTACTTAGGAGAACTCAGGCTTTCAGCACTTTTTCAGTCTTCCGGGAGTTTGTTCCAGATAAATTAAGCATAGGGACTGAAGGCTGCTTCTCCATCTTTGTTCTAGTCCTGGGTGTAGATCTAGAGTAGGCTGAACTGGAAGACCTGAGTGGTCTGAGAGGTTGAAACACTGACAACAACTTTTTTATGTATCGGTCTCCGCCAAGTGACGTCAGTTGTTTACCTCGGGCGCGGTACACTACACCTTTTCCACCTAAAATGGCGTCTTAGCAACAAATGTCACGTGACTGGCGGAGACCGATTTTCCTAAATCCGCCCCTGTTTTCAGGCTTATGTTAACTGTAATGACTTATCTTGGACAGACTGCTATGTAAACGGGCCTTTAGTCCTTCGTTTAGCTATGCTGCGGTTGTTTACACTACGCCTTTTCCACCTAAAATGGCGTCTTAGCAACAAATGTCACGTGAATGGCGGAGACCGATTGAGATGCTGATCCATTCAGTGTTTTCTAGACTAACAGAAGGATTTTAAAGTTTATTCTCTGAGCTACAAGGAGCCAGTGGAAGGACAGCGGAACTGGGCTAATATGCTCTACTTTCTTAGTTCTAGTGAGAACACAGGTAGCAGCATTTTGGATCAGCTGCAGCTGTCTGATGGACTTTTTAGGCAAAGCTTTCAAGACACTGTTGCAGTAATAAATTATACTCAAGATAAATGCATGAATGAGTTTCTCTAGATGCTGCTTGGAAATTAGTCCTTTAATCCTTGGGATGTTCTTCAGATTTATAAAAGGCTGACCTGGTAATTGCCTTTATTTGACTCTGAAGGTTTCAGTTCTGAGTCCATTATGACATCAGGATTTCAGTCATAATCTGTGGTTTCTAGCTGCAGCAGCTGCAGCTGTGAGATAACAGCAAACATGTACCCTGTTCCACAATCAGTTTACAGCTTTCACTGTTCAAAAGTTGGTTAACGCTGTTATGAACCATAAAAACCTGCAGCACACAGTTACCTCATTTTATCTGTATGGACTTAGAGTACCAAAAAATAAAGATTCAGGAATGCCCGTCTCATAAAACTTGATCCAACATGAAACGCATCAAAAGTCTTTCGAAGAGGTAAAAAACAAGCCCAACATAAAATAATTTGGGAACCATAGTTGTTATTCAAATCTAAAACCTCTTTTAAGGCAAAAATATATTATATTTTTAATTTACTTTATCTAGGGGTTGCTCAGTTTTTTGACAAACTGACTGAACAACAGTGTAAACCCTCAAGTACTTTAAAAAAATGGCATCTTTCTTTTTCTCTTGAAATTAACTATTGGTTAATATATATTTTGTATAATTTGTATAATTTTAGCTTTAACTGTATAGTGTGTGTCTGCTTTTTTAATCTTTTCCAGATTTTTTCATTGCTTTAATTTAAAAGCATCGCTTTGCTGAGGTCTGTCTCCCTGTTAACGTTTTACATCTTCTCATCTTTAGAGGCATGAAGGTGATTGAGAACAGAGCCATGAAAGATGAGGAGAAGATGGAGATCCAGGAACTGCAGCTCAAAGAAGCCAAACACATCGCAGAGGAGGCCGACCGCAAATATGAGGAGGTGCTCGTTCAAATCGGAGCTATTCTTCCACATTTCTCCAAACAAACCCGATCTTATTTCTGCTCCTGTTTCGCCTTGTGCTGATTGTCTTTCTCGGCCTCTTTCTCAATAGGTTGCTCGCAAACTGGTGATCCTGGAGGGTGACCTGGAAAGGGCGGAGGAGAGGGCAGAGCTTGCTGAACTGTAAGCACAAGGAAAAAAACAGAACAAATGGTGGGGAGTTGCTGATGAATGCTAATAACGGATAATTTTTTACTCTGCCCCTGCAGAAAGTGTAGCGAGTTGGAGGAAGAGCTCAAAAATGTCACCAACAATCTCAAGTCTCTAGAGGCTCAGTCCGATAAGGTAACAGTCCAGATTACACACTTTCCTACTCAACACTTCTTATAGAAGAAACAGACGTATTCACACACCATATCGAACTGCAATGCTTCAATGGTTTGGGGAATTTAGTTGGTAGATCCACACAAAGTAATAGCTGAATAGAAAAGCATGTAACTTGTTTTTATAATGAACCTTGTTGCCTTTTTTTAAAATATAGTGCAGTTAATGGACTTCAAAGAGCGCCTATATTGTAAGCCAAACCTATGGGACAAGTCCAGCTCTATCAGGATGTCTCAGAGGGTTTTTAGAGCAAATATTCCCAACTGGTGGAACTCGTACTCCTAGTGGTCTTCGAGTGCATTGCAAGGGGTACATGAAAAAATATTTTATTTCTTAGGTAGTAAATGAAATATTGCTGGGATCTGTTTTGCTTTGTGAGGACCCAACTAAATAATAGAACAAGCTTTTTTTCAACCAAAATGTAAGTTTTTCTTTGAGTTCAGCTTTGACAGAGCTTTAACGGACTGGATGTAGAGAACAGCCTGGGATCAGCTGTTTTTCACACTGAGCTATCGGAGCTCATCAGATCAGCTCGGGTGTCTTGATGAAAACAAAGTAATTAATTAAGTAACTAATTAAGTCAGTCTAACTATACTTTTTTCCTGTATTTTGTTCCCACTTCATCAAGTTTAAATGTGATTATAAAGGAGTTACTAAGAGGAGCTCCTGTTTTATGAATACATGTTTATAATATGATTTTATTTTGTATATATTTCAATTCCTTACTAACTTCCAGGCAACATATTTATGTTTTGTTTTTGTTTTTTTCATTTGAGATGACAACAATAAAATACCTAAGAATTATTTGCTCAAATTGAAAGATTTAGTAAAATATTTATAGTCGGTTATTGTACGTTCCACTTTTGAACAATTAACAACACTGTTGACTGAGAGGGGGACTCAACGTAAGACAAAATGCCCAACGGGGAACACGAGTCAAAAAAGGTTGGGAAATACTTTGTTAGAGAACGAACATTATCTTGAAGACCAAATGACACAGCAGGCTGGTGGGGAAGACAGGCTCAGGTTTAGGTTTTTTTTTTAAACTAACAAGGGAAGTTAACCTTAACACACTAAGCCCACTGTGAAACATGGTGGTGGGAGCATCATGCTACAGGGTTGCTTTTCTTCGGAGAGGATGGAGGAACCAAGTAATGGAAGATGAATGGATAAATACCCTAATTATAAAGTCAATTTAACAGTTAAGCCGTTTAGATGAATATCCAAACATTAGACTGGTCCAGTGTGGGAGAAATGGAGCTAAGTACAATAACATCCTAAAGAAGAAGACTGTAGGCTGGAGCAAAGGATTATCACCTTGTGTGGGTTTATCACAGAGAATCTCAATAAAAGACTTTTAGAGTTATTTTTTTTTAATGATGAAAAATTAAGGCAAAAAAAAAAAGTCGATTGAAATCAAATGCTTTTAAATGAACTACCATGGCAGTAAACTGATGAAGCCGCTCTTTTTCTGTGCAGTACTCTGAGAAAGAAGACAAATACGAAGAGGAGATTAAAATCCTGAATGACAGACTCAAGGAGGTAAAATCAAACTGAAGAGTTGTCCACATGCTTTTGTTGTTTGGATAAGGATGATTAATGTTTGTGGTGGGCTTGTTTTTTTTCTTTTTGTGTTGTACTATAGGCGGAAACCCGTGCAGAATTTGCAGAAAGAACAGTGTCGAAGCTGGAAAAGACCATAGACGACCTTGAAGGTACATCCTGTTTCTGCTGCAATCTGTTCTTTTTTTCCTCACTGATCTCTTCTGTAAAGTCGTACTTGAGTTTATATTTAAGCTGGTCTCTTTCATTTCTCTCCTCTTCCTCTGCCCTGACCTGCACTTGACTCTGAACCCCCTCCCCCTGCTTTCTCCTCCTCCATTTCCGACTCCAGATGAGTTGTACACTCAGAAGCTGAAATACAAGGCTATCAGCGAGGAGCTGGATCATGCCCTCAATGATATGAACACCTTGTGAAGCTCCCACTTAGCTTCTGATGTTTGCTCTTCATTTCTTTCTGCATTCTTAAGCATTTCTTCTCCCATCCTGCTCTTTTCAGTTTGCATTTAACTAAAAACAATAAAGACCTTTTTCTCTCTTCTCCTGCCTCTGTTCTTTCACTTGTAGTTTTCTGTTTTCCACATAACATGATTATGTTTTTCAAAGCCCAGACATTTATGTGATCATGCAATTCATTGATGACACCCTCTTTATTGCAGAGAGTCTGTCGCAGGCAAAGGAAGAAAACCTAGGAATGCACCAGGTTCTGGACCAAACGCTGCAAGAGCTCAATAGCTTGTGAAAAAGAAAAAACAATAAAAAAAATACAAGAACAAAGCACAGTTTAAAAAAAATTAATACTCCAATTTTTTTGTAAAAGAATTTTTTCTACATGCCATCCATTTTTTTGTCATTCCACATCTCCTTACGTATCTGTGACTTTTTTAACACATGTAGCCCATTTTTATATTTATGGTTCCTTTTTTTTCTATGACTTTTTTAACTAATGGTTTTGGGTCCATGCAATTTCAGTATTGGTGCTGGAAATTCTGTTCTTGACCAAACATTGAGAGTGAATAAAGCTTTTAATGATGTCAGGCACTATGCAGCTCCTGACACCCTCTGCTCTTTTGGCATCCCTGATAAAGATGTGTCAAAAGTCTTAAGATAAGTCATCTTCTAGTGCTGCTGATAAATCTCACTCTGTAAGATGTAACAAAAAAAAAGCAAAACTGAGTTTTTAAACGTTTATTCGTTGTGGAAAGAAAGAAAAATCCCTGTATTATTGGCAGCCATTACAATCTTTATTAAAGAAATACAACTGGAAACATCTCTGAGTTATTCTTAATTTGTTAACTTGATCAAAGTGTCTAACCTATAGTTAATAACCTACTTTTTTGTTTTCTGAGTATATATGATAAGTAAAGGAGGCAGTTTTTCTGCTCTTCAAAATGGAAAAAAAAAAACACAAATATGTTATTTAGACAATGCAGATGTTAGTTGGTTTTCCTATAATAAGAGATGGTTGCAAGTACAGAGCTACAGTACTGATCTATAATTTCTCATTCAAAAATTCAAGAGAGCGTGAGCTGTGGTGGGACATCCGTTTCAAGAACTGGGATGCTTGTCATAGAGTATCAATACCATATGTTAACTTGCTTTTATTTAAACTCAAAATATTAATGCAGAGTAAGAAGAGATGTTAATTATCTTAAAAGCTTGCTAATGGACATGTGCAGCAGACCATCTCTCTATAGCAACCGTATCTAATCTAGAATCTGTCTGTCTTGGGAGGTATGCAGGAAAAAGCATGGCCTTTTATACCATCACAGATTTAAAACTTATGTTTTCATCAGATTAAACTCGACATAGCTTTTACAACAACCCGAACTCTTGGGAGGTTGGTCATAAACAAAGTATAACCATGTGGGGAAACCACAGATTTACAGCGCTAGGGATGTTTTCTCCTCTATAGGCAATTGGAACCATGTTTTCTCTCTATCTTCAAAAGAAAAATAGCAGCTTTTTGAATAAAACCTGCTTGCCTCTCAGTCCCCAGATTAAATACTGTAAAGGTAAAGAAACCAAGCATAAAAAAAAGACTCCGGATTAACTCAAGAGAATGATATGGGCATTCATTTAGAGGATGTCCTTTCTGCATATTCCGACTTGCATCCCAGAGACGATGTCAACACTCATCCAAAAAATTGTAATGGAAAAAGAGCAAGCAGAGGGAAGGCATGCGCAAACATGCTGTGTTTTCTTTTGGCTCCAAGAAAACCATGAATTTGTTTTGTATCTGTCGAAGCATCAAATTCTGGTCTTATTATGGGAAAAAACACACCATGTTACTGGCAGCTAAACTTTAGTGAAGTAATTCATTATATTATGGGCAGGATATAAGGAAAGTTCAAAAATGACTTGATGTGTCCTAAATGATTGTGACAAAATAAATATATAATCTGTAAAATGTCATGTTTGAAGTCTGTGCTGCTATGAAGCCATGGTAAAATAATGGCGTTATTTTCATAAGACAAGGCTTCACATTATACATCCAGATAAAGGGGGTTAAAAACAAAGCATAAGTGTGCTGACTCCCTCTGGTTAAATCTGATGCTACAACATCTTTACACTGAAACCCTGATCTGAATGTTTGGCTCAGCAAAGTTACAGGGACTAAAAGTCATAAACTCCATTCTTAGAACATTGTATAATTGTCTTTTATACATCATTGAATTAAGTTAAACACATAAAAGCTAACCATGTAAAAAGTATTGGAATACCTTTGATTAATCTGACTTATTTCCCCAGACATAGGACTGGAGTTGCATAGCAATGATGAGTTTGAAATGTAAATATATACCCACAATAGTATTCACTCAACTGCCCTGAGTCACATATGAGCTTAAGTGACACCCCAATCCTAATCCATAGGGATTTAAAATGATGTCAGTCCACCCATTGCAACTTGAGAAGCCTCAGCTCTTCTGGAAAGGCAGTCCACAAGGTTTTGTAGCGTGTTTAGGGGAATTTGTGTGCATTTGTGAAGTCATACTCTGACGTTGGATGAGAGGGCCTGGCTCTTTAATTTATCCAACTGGTGTTTTATTGGGTTGAGGTCAGGACTCTCTGCAGGCCAGTCAAGTTCATCCACACTAGATTCTGCCATCTATGTCTTTATGGACCTTGCTTTGTTCACTGGTGCACGGTCAAGCTGGAAGAGGGAGGGGTCAGCTCCAAACTATTCCCACAAGGTTAGGAGCATGGGGTTGTCCACAATGTCTTGGGAGGCTGAAGCATACAGAGTTCCTTTCATTGGAACCAAGGGGGCAAACCCAGCTCCTGACCATAATCCCCCCTCCACCAAACTTTACACTATGATAGTTTTATTTTGACACTTCCTGTTCTCCTGGCAACTGCCACACCCAGACTTGTCCATCAGATTTCCAGGTGGAGAAGCATGCTTCGTTAATCCAGAGAATGGATCTCCTCTTCTCTGGAGTCGAGTGGTGGTGTGCTTTACACGACTGCATCAAACACGTTGTATTGCACTTGGTGATGTATGGCTTAGATGCAGCTGCTCAACCATGGAAACACATTACATGAAGCTCTCTGTTCTTGGGCTAATCTAAAGTTTAGAGGTGTACAGTGACCAACTCTGCAGAAAGTTGGTGACCTCTTCGCACTATGTGCCTAAGCATCCACTGACCCTGCATTGTCAGCTTACATGGCCTGCCAATTCTTTTTATTATGATCCAGCTGACTGTTGATTGTGGGTTAGCCTAACCCTAACCCTAACCTGTGGGTTAGCCTAACCCTAACCCTAATCCTAGGAGTGAGAACATTTCACATCTGAATTATTTGGACAAGTGGCATCGTATCACAGTTACACGCTGGAACTCACTGAGCTCCTGAGAACGACCTGTTTTTTTCCCAAATGTTTGTAACAACAGTCTGCAGGCCTAGGTGCTTGTTTTTATAAACCGGGGTCCATGGGAGCCATTGAAACACCTGATTCCAATAATTTGGATAGGTGAGCAAATACTTTTTGCATTATTTGTGAAAATCAGAAATGCAACTTTTTTTACTATTTGTCAAGGCTGCACTTTTAAAAAGATGAAGTTGTCCAGTGAGCTGTTTCCAAACGAAATTTCTTTTTGTTTTACACTTGTGTAAACAAAATGACAAATAAAATCTGTCTAAAGTCTAAATATTAATAAATGTAATCAATAAAAAGTGAATTTTAAGATATCAAGAAACACCACATGTCTAATTGCAAATGAATCTGTTTTAGCAAATACAAATCAATGTTTTACTTTATCATACAAAAAAAAGAGCATTCCTCTAATGGCCCTTTCAGTTCCTCCACCTAACTCCAGGGAAGGAAGTGACTAAAGTTATAAAGAACACAATCCACTGTCTAGGGCTGTCGGTAATGCTGAAAGGGGGGTGTGTGTGCTCAGGTCGTGACATTTTGGAACAATTGTGATACAAGACAAAATGTAAAAACGTTGAGGTAAAGTTTTTCAAGGCATTTCTTTTATAATTTCCACTATCGGCTCCAAAAGTTAAGTCTAAGATGTATTTGATTTTACACCATGAAGTGGTAGGTTCCAACGAAGAACTTGGGTACACGTCACTGATAACTTCCTGCCAGTGGATGCCGTGCCAGCAGGGGGCGACATATCAACTTCATGCATCCTATCTTCGCCGGGCGGGATTTCCGCAATAATATCAAGTATGGCGAAAACATACGACTATTTGTTTAAATTACTTCTCATCGGGGACTCTGGTGTCGGGAAGACCTGTGTGCTCTTCAGGTTTTCAGAGGACGCCTTCAACTCAACGTTTATCTCAACAATAGGTGCGTACTGAGGGATATGTTTGGTGTATTCTCTGTTTACATTACGCAGGACTGGCTTTGCGGATTCGTCTAATTGCTGGAATGCTGGTTATGCTATATATGCCATATAAGGCATTACAGATTTTGTTAGAGAACGTTAATCCTTGTGCAGATTTTGTGGTCCTGACCGCTTTAATATAGTGGGAGGGAGAGAACTATAAACGTTTTGTTTTTTTCCTTGCACGCTGTCAATATGAAACCTACCTTTTGTACCGGTTTATATGCCCTAGTGTCTATGACCCGTCTATGCTCTGGACAGACACCGGAAAACCTGATATGTTCTATATTTATGTCAGTTGCGGGTTAATCATTTCCTTCATTGTGTTTTTTAAATGATTTCAGCTTTACAGTTATGATAGGAATGCTAGTTTATGCTTGATTTTCCACAGGTATTGATTTCAAGATTAGGACAATAGAGCTTGATGGCAAGAAGATAAAGTTACAGATATGGTAAGATTCCCTTTTATCTAAGCCAACCATTGTTTTATAAATAGGATGCTTTGCCTTTAATTGATATACATTGTATCACTATTACAACCACAGAATTCAGTGTATTTTGTGTGATATATAAAAGAGAGAAGTGATGCATAATCGTAAAGTTGGAAGAAACTGATTAACTGTATATAAAGGTATTTCAAAAGTAGAATTCTCATAGATTTGTGCTTTTTATAAAACCCACTGCAGTCAGTTCCCTTCAAAAGTTGTTCAAATAGGAAATAGAGCCTGGAGACCCTTTGTAAGCATATACTGCTGCTACTGCTATTTTTGTGAAGACTTCAGGGTTTTTTTTGTAACTAAATATAAACAACTAGCACAACGAAGGCCACGAATCACAGCAGACAGGTCAAAAATAGGGTTTTGGAGATGTGAAAAGAAGATTAAGTGATAAAGATCGTATTAAGGGCTGTTTATTTTAAATCTACAAAGTGAAAGTAAGATATGGTCTGCCACATAAACTGACAGAGTCATCAGTAAGTCTTGAAAAGATGCAGATGTTGACAGCTAAGGTAGATGATATTGTCAACGGCATAGTTTAAAATTTCCCTGTCTAACATGAAAGAAACCAAAGTGCTAAGATGTAGGTCCCTTACTAAAAAAACTGAAGAAGGAAGCAAGGGTGGTGCACCCATTAAAAAACTACATGAACTATTTGCAAGTGCTGATTGGATTTGTGGCTGGATGGGTGTGCATTTAATGAATAAATCCACCAGTCGGCATCCAGCTGGTTGTCTGCCTTCACTGGAAGTACCACATATCCTCCAGTTAACATATAGTATAAGCAGTATGTTATATTATTAAAGTTTGTCATGTTCAAGTGGTGCGAATTCTCTCTGATAAAAGAGTTCAAAAATAGTCCTCTACTTTTAAAATCAATAATAATCCGAAAAATGTGTGTTTCCTTGCACTTGTTGTACATTTTAACGCTGCTCTGACTTCTGCAAACTAAAGCAAAATATATAAAACAAACAAACATCACCTTTGAAACCTCCAAAAAGAACATTAAAAATAAAAGTGAAATATTAAAGGCTAAATATGTATATATATTTTCTTACAGTCTTATAGTTACTGCTATAAGTGGCTTGCTCTGTCAGCTAAAGGCATGTTTTAGAGTCTTTATACTTCAGTTAACAATGAATCCATTACTAAATTAGTTTATATAATAATAAATTAATAAGATTCATTGTTTCACCCTTAGATGAATATCAGATCTCAGGTTATGGGTTTCTTAAACACAGTTTAATAAAATAATATTTTAATTTACAGTAAAAAAAAAAAAAAAAAAAGAGGAAGTATGATGGGTGATATGTGCCAAACCATACAGGGAACCAGTTAGAATGGGATTTTTGGGTTATGACCAAGTTGCCTCTCACTATGAAGGCATAGAGCTAAAAAAAAAAAAAAGTCTGAACGTTTCCAATCTGAGCTCTTTGACATAATGAAATGAAAAAGTAAGACATGTTTTAAACCGAAAAAATATCACCTGTGAGTTACTGTTTATTGTAACCCCCTAGATGCATATTTCAACCTCTGCTTAACTTACCATCTTGGACTCTTACAGGGATACAGCAGGCCAGGAGCGTTTCAGAACAATCACAACAGCCTACTACAGAGGAGCAATGGTGGGTAGCTGTAAATGCTGGTAGTTTCTCATCTTTAAGCATTTAAAGGTGCTTTAAATAATTGCAACATGTGTCTGCAGGGCATCATGCTTGTCTATGACATCACGAATGAGAAATCTTTTGATAATATCAAGAACTGGATACGGAACATAGAGGAAGTAAGTGCTGTTTGAAACTAATTATCACTGACGTGTTTGCTCTTCCTAAAAGGCTGCGTGAAACTTAATACTGTAACTTTCCCTCTGTTAATGTAGCATGCGTCATCTGATGTTGAGAAGATGGTCCTTGGCAATAAATGTGACATCAACGACAAGAGGCAGGTGTCCAAAGACAGGGGAGAGAAGGTGAGAAATCTCAGCTAAGAATGAAAGTTTTGGTTTGTTTTGTTGCTAGCGCTGTGGTGTTATGAAATGTTGCTGGAAATGATTCTTTTCTCTTTCTTTCAGCTCGCACTAGAGTATGGGATCAAGTTCATGGAGACCAGTGCAAAGGCCAACATCAATGTGGAAAATGTAAACCTTCTCCCTTATTGCTTGTTTTATCTCATTTGAATGCCAGCTGGATTTATGTCTGATTGAAACCTGGAAGCAGCTCTACATGTGTCACAATCCCAGAAATGTTATTTGCATATCAGAGAAAATGTTTTAAACTCATGGAGATAATCCAGTAAATCAGTTCCTCCTTGTTGCTTCTACCTGCACTAATGCCCCGACTTTCTCAGTTGATATGTGTAATGATTTATTGCCCTGGCTTTATATGCAAATTGTTAATTTATTTACATTTCTTTGGATTCACAGGCATTTTTGACTCTTGCCAGAGACATCAAATCAAAGATGGACACAAAAATGGTAGGAAAACTTAAGTATGGGTCTTGCAAAAGCATTTGTACCCATACGATCTGTTTACATTTTGTCAAACTACTGCCAGAAATGTCAATGGGTTATCCTTATGTTAATTGGAGGGGTGAAAACATTTTACTTCTTTCTCCAAAATAAAAACAAAGAGATAAAGTCTTTCTGGTATGTCTACCAACTTTTCACTTTTAGTGACTATATTAAATAAAAAAAGCCCAGGTTCAGTCATATTGGATGGAGGCCATCTGTAAACATTAGTTTTTCATTCTTTGCACAGATTCCTGTTTAGGTCTGGAGTTTGAAAAGGTCCTTATGATCAATGATATGTTTCACTGTTAACCATTCAAGTGTGGCTCTGAATGTAAGTTAAGGGTTAGAAAATTACACACATATTGACTCTTTGCTTACCAAAATTCTGTCTGATTAAATTTTTTTTTAACTTAAAAAAAAATCTATGAAAAAGACATTTCTTTAAACCCCATAATTGCATGCTACTGTGTTGGTTTATCAAAGGAAAGCCCAAGAAAAAACATTGAGGTTTGTGAAGTTTGAAAACTGTTTTGATGTAAATACTTTGGCTCAAATTAGGCAGCAACTAACTTTTTTATTTTGCAAATCGATTAATCTATTGATTATGTTTTCGATTAATAATGGCATCGGCAAAGATTCCTTAAAGAAGATTTATTTATTTTTTTTTACAGAATCAAACTAGGTGAAGCTAAAATGTGTCCACTTGAGGAGTTCTGGATAGAGCATATTGATAGATTTAAAAAAAACAACATTTTTTTAAGCTTAAATGCAAAATCTTCATATATTTATTAATTTTTTTTTCACAATCTTGGTATAATTACTGCTCTATCAGATAAAGGCATGTTTTAGAATCTCTGCACTCCAGTTAACGATCGATTACTAAATTAGTTGACAATTATTTCTTGTTAAGAAACACCTTCAGGTACTTTAGGATGGGTTTATGGGCTCACTGTAGCTTTTTAAATGAAGTGAAATTGTGTTTAATTGATCTTTTCTGTGATTTTGCTTTAGGAAGGCAACGCTCCTCAGGGTGCCGGTCACGGAGTCAAGATCTCGGAGCCACAGAAAAAGAGCAGTTTCTTCCGCTGCAGCTTGCTCTGAGAGCCAAAGCTATTCATGCTGGCAACAAGCTAGCTGGACACAACTTGACTGTCTTTGCTCTCAGCACTTCCTCCTCTTTTTCCTTATTCTTCCCAAACATTGCCTCTCCTGCTCTGCAAAAACCACTGTTGTCAGTAGGTGGAGGACTTCCCCTCCTCTCTTCCTTTCCTGAAGGCTTCCAGAGGTTCGTCGCTTCCATTTTTAGAGGATAACTTGTCTTCATTCTCCACAGCTTTTTAACCAACAGAGGTCTCAAACCTGAACACGATCCACGTTCTCTGTTACAAAATATGGGTTTTTTTCATTTCTCCCAGCCAGTAGCAGAACCAATGACAGACGATGCGTACATCATTACAATATTTTTGAATTGGAAACTATAAATTGTGTTTTGATCTATTTTTGACATCACTCTTCGCTTTTTTTCTGCGTGTTGCTGAACAGAGACGGATGTCCCAACCTTCAGTGAAACACGAGTTGCACTTTTTTCATATCAGCAGCTGAAGTCATATCACGGTGCATAAAGTCCATTTAAAATCAGTTGGAAGGTTCTTTTTTTTTGTTCTCTTTCATTTTATTTCTTGTTCTTGACAATCATCTGATGTGACTGAAAATTAGGCTTTTCTTAAGCCCTGATCACTGCCGCCAAAATCTTTTTGCACTAGCGTCCAAGTGTCTGCAAAACACAGTCTGGGTTTTTATCAGTCCTGCTGTCCAAAGTTTAACTGAAAATAAGAGGTGGCAGATTTCTGTAATTGATTCCTGAAGCAGTAACCCGTATAGAGAGAAGACTCTTAATCTAAACTAGTTTCTGGTTTTCTTTTAAGGTCTAACCTGCTGATGATATACAAAAAAAAAACAACCCAAAATGTACTACAAAAAAAATCAGATCAGACTTTTAGGTATTTGATCTCCCAATTAAAGAACATATTGGTTGGTCTCTTAATAATAATCTTCAGAACAATCTGTATCTTAACTTTTTTGAGACCGTTTCATGTTGTAGAAATGATATTGTTCTTTGTATTGTTAGCAACTTTAGCTTCCATTCATCCCAGGGGGAAATTTAAAGAAAAAGAAACATCAGTTAAATAACTTAAAAAGGTCTAAATGGATGCAATTTACTTAAGACTGGATTATGCAGTGTTGTATAATGTTGCTTTTTAGCGGGAAACAAAAAGAAAACATTCAGTCCTTCAGATTGGGTTGCATTATCGTTTGTGTTTGCATGGTGTTTATCATAATTTAAAAGGCTAATCCCAAAAAAAAAAATACCAAAATTTTCACACTTTTTATTTACCCCAAGAAGTGATCTCTCATATTATTTAGGTTATGAAGGAAACGTTATAAATTAAAGTGGACATCTTCTGTTTTTTTCCTCTCCAAACGTCACCTGTATTAAAAATCTTAATAGCTGGTTAAAGGTGAGCGTGAAGTTTGTCACCATTGGACAGATTACTGTGAATAACCGAGTATAAATAAATATTTACAATTTTAGAAAAAAGACTATTTTATAAAACAAAAGTACAGAAATAGAATATTTATTCAATATGTTGTCTCTGGTGGTGGAAAATTAGATATCACTGCATCTTTTACTTCATTTTGGTGTGGAGATGTATTCTGTGTTGCTTCCTTTGTATGAAAATCCAGCTTCAGCAGCAGAGTTCCTAACAGTTTGTTCAAAGCACAAAAGCCTGTATGACTTTTGTTTCTTTGCTAACTTTTAGCGTCAGAGCACATGTGTATTTGCATTAGTTTTTCAATAATAAGGTCTTTAGAAGAGAAACAGCTTAACAGTGGACACCAGGTCCTTTCCAATATATGCTTGTGCCTGAAAGTTTATGTACCCTAACATTAAAGACAGAAAACAAATATTTTATGAAATGATCATTTATTTATCTCTAGTTTCAGTTTAGGGTTATTCGACTAACTAGTGTGAATTTATCATTTTCTTTCGTGGGAGGGTGTGTAAACTTTCAAGCAAAAATATATGTGTTTCATCCAGTTTAAAGTATTTTAGTCTTAGGAAGTTTTGGATCATCATGGAAGAGTGAATCAGCTTCTAACAAGTCAGCTGGTTTTTCATAATCTCTTGGTTTATCAGTTTTTCCTCTCAATCATCTCTTCCATGTTTTAGACCTAACGTCAGTGATAGCTGCTGAGATTCACGGTGAGCTACACTGGATGCAGACGTACTAAAAAAGTGGAGGTAGCCTCCCGCGGCCCGTTTCAGTGGATTGATTGTTGCTCAGTCTTAATCCCATCAGACCAAAGCACACCGCTCCATTTAAACATCAGTAGAGCTGAAACTTTACATCATTAGATGGCGATGTTAGGGCAGATTCTGCTTATTTAGACTTGCCTTTCCAATACAACCGATTGGCCTTAACATGGTTTGTTAGGGAGACGGTGCTCAAATTAAATGGTTTAATCACCTCTAAACTCTGCTGAGATGATCTTCCTGCATTAGTTTAGTTTATTTCTTGCAGCTTTCTTTCTTTGGGGTGTCCACAAACGAGGCACTGGAGGCTCTTATAACAATCAAATGATGTCTCTGATTATTAGATGTCATTAAGGTCACCATGTTTCCCATCAAGCTCTTCCAGCACTTTATTATTAAATAGTGTTGTACGTGTAGTCCGTGCCAAGTGATAGCGTCACCATATAACAGCACAGTGTTGACCTGTTGAGTATTTGCATTATAAAGGAAGTGTATTACCCCAACATTCACAGCACCAAGTCATCCAGTATCGGCATACTGTAAACTTTCACTTTGTTTCCTTGTATATTTTCTCAAATGTTTTTCCAGTATGTAGGTAAAGAAAAGATGTTTAAAGCTAAAACCTGACAATTCCTTTTATAAAAGTAATGTTTGCACTCTGCTAACATCAAAGCAGGTCAGAATGAAGATGGTTTCTGGCGTTTTCTCTTTAGTTGTAGCCCTCATGTTCGATGGCTAGGTGGCACTATAGGAACAGAGGGCCTCTTGGCTTTACCACGTAAACAGAAATTGGAGAAAGAGTTTAATTTAACTTGCAGGAAAAAAAAAAAGGCCAGTTAAGTGATTATGTTATTCTCAATATTTTCCTTTGAATCTTATTACCTCATGTTTGCTTTCTGATGCAAGTTTCTTTTCTGGAAACTACATCCACAATATTTTTAAAGGCATTTTTATGGTTTGGTTGCATCTTTTTTCTTTTTTTTTCTCCAAGGATCAAAAAAATTTGGGACCTCGTGATTATAAGGACCATTTGTTTTAACTGTCAGTTCTCACAGCTGAGCTATGCATTGTAAATCTTGGACCTTTGCTTACTTGTACACCTCTATTATTGAATTCATGGGCTTTGTTACATTTAAAGGTTGATGATTTCAACCTTTAACCAGATAACCAGATGTTAAAGCCTTTTTTAATTATTTTTTTTTAACATTGCTGTTCTATTGCTTGAGTAATATGAAAGCAAAGTCCTAGAGAGCAGATGTTAGGGTCACAATCTGTTTTTTTTGTTTTTTTTTTGGACTGATGCTTTTTTTTTTTTTAAAAACCTTTTCCTAAAATAATTATCCCATGTTGTAATAAAGCAAACATATTGTAAGTGGTTACGTTTTCATTCTGTATGTTGGGACATTCACAGGGAGAAAAACATAAATATCATTGAAAATTAAAAAAATCTATATAAACTGTACTGTACTTTCTAAACCCATAAGAGATGTATCTACACTGAACTGTAGATATGTGTACTTTTGATTTAATAAAAAAAGGAGTGAAAATGGTTTCCAGTGTTTGATCTTACCCCGACCACATGATCAGTGGTTGACCCCCTGCTAAAGCTTTGCTGTTTTCAGGACAAATGTAACCAAACCCCTCCTGATGCAAAATACATCTGCTGTCGAGGGTCCTAAGTATTGTCAAGTTAAACTAACAATCTGAGTTGATTGTTTTGGGGTTTTTTTTTTTTTTACTATCTCCATACATCTGTGGTTCATTTTATCCATCTTGGTGATTAATCCCGTTCACTTGTGCTTAAACATTGATCTCTACTCAGAGAAAGAACTTTAGCTTAGAGCTTCCCCAAAGACACCGCTGATAGGAAATGGGACATATTCAAAGTTTACACAATATTTAATACACAAAGCAAAAAAAAATGTGATTTTTTTTGATGCAATATTTGTGTTTGAAGACATTACTATGCACAGGTTTGCTATATGGTTTGTTTACCCATTTTCAATTAATTTCAATTATGAAAAGCAAAAAATAGTCAAATATTTGAACTCTATTATTTCTGATGTGTAATGTTTAACTCATCTGTTAGTAGGTTATCAACCTACTAACTGTACGTCCTATGCATATTGGACTGTTGGGACGTCCATCTAAAAGAAAAGGAAGGATAAATAAACAAATGTGACTGAGAGGAGTCATCCCTGCTCTTTGGAAGAATAATTTCTTTTCAAGTTTGGCAAATCTTGAGAGTAAAAAAAAACAAAAAAAAACTGGACTGTTAATGAAGTTCATCCTAATTAGAGAATTACTTGTTCTTCAGCTGAATAAACTCTGGATGTGACGGTGCATATTTTTTCCGTGGTATTTTCAGTCCATCTTTTTAGGGTTTTTGCAAGCAGCTGTGAAATAAAATGTTTTGACTAAATATTTAGTATTGTCATGTAAAGTAACAACCACAAGGGTCAATGCATTGCATTGAATTTACCAATACAGCATATTGAATAACTGAATTAAATCTTTCTCATAGTCACAGTGCCGGCAAGTGATATTATTTGTATCAAAAACTTTTTCTTCCTCTCCCACTAGGATTACTGCTTTGCATTGCTCACTTCATGAGTGGATAGTCTAGAGCAGGAACGTACAATTAATTTCTGTCTGTTTCTTTAAATTCATTTTTCTGTGTTTTTACATTCTATATCATAAAATGTATTGATTTATACATTTGTTTATATGCCAAAGCATATTTCTGTTTTATTTTATATATATTAAAACAGTAGTTTGGCAAACTTCAACATAAAAGCACGTAGGCCTACAGTGTATATAAAGAGCATAAAACTAAAAACAGTGCCTCAGCATGAAAACCTATATTCTAATGTTTGACAGCATCTTATATCATAATCATGTGAAAATCAAGTACAAATCTGGTGAGCATACAGCTTCCTGTACAGATGCATGCACCTGGGGAACCTAACCGCGTCAGCTCCATTATATATATATAGAAACTTTACTAAAACAGAAACATCCACATTTTCTACTCGCCTTTCTGTAGTTTTTTCTGCATGCAAGTATGCAGTTTTTTTTTTGTTTTTTTGTTAATCTTTTTTTTTTTTCATACAGTTCATCTTGTTTTTTCTACTTAGTTTATAGCTCCACGTCAGTTTGCAACATCTGACCGCATTAATCAGCTTAAATGTGTTTGAATATTGACACACAAATGTTTATAGTATGAAAAGATGTTTTTTCTGATCCAAACTATCACTTAGTTACAAACCAATGCAAAATGTGTTGTCAGTTTCCCCTATTGGTATTTATAACAGATCTTGACAAAAATACAAAGATGACTTGTTCCATGTTATTTCCTCTTCTTTTGATGGTAATCATTTATTTAAATAGATGATGAAGCCAAACATAAAAAAATGAGATCACTTTTATTTGTGGTTAGAGAGCTTTATTCCAAATACTTCTTAACAAAAAATAAATTTATTTCAGCTGTGAGGATAGAGAGAAAAAAAGAAAGCATCAGGACAGACAGGGAAAGGCTACTGCTTTTGTCTAATATCAGGCAGAAATGTGGGAGCAGCTATCTAATACCAAGTGATTCATTTCTAAATATTATTTATATAGAAACAATACATTAGCAAGATTTGTCATTTACTTACTAATATTAAATATTGTATGTTCGACAATGTGACTTTAACCGAGCCAGTTTTGTCAAACATCCCTCTGCTAAAGTTGAGTGCAGAGCCTCAAGGAGCAGATTTGGTCTGTACTTTGATTTTATAGATGGACTGATTCTTTTTGGTTTTAAACAATTCCTTTAGATCCTTATCCCATGTTGTTTTTTTTAAGCAAACATATTTTCAGTAGTGTTGCACCAATACCGATACCAGTATCGGACGGGACCCTGATACTGCCCTAAAATGGTGGTATCGGTACCGGCGAGTACCAACAAATAGGGCACCGATACCATTTTGAGAGCCATAAGTTTCTTCAACTATTGTCACCCACTCCTGGTAGGCAATAAAACTTCACCTTGTATTAGATTTTTTCCTGCTTCACAAAGGTAGGCAGCAGCTTGACAAAGCCATGATGGCAATTATTTTACATTATTATGGTATCGGTATCGGCCGATACTGCGCAGCCAGGTATCGGGTATCGGTATCGGGGCCAAAAAAAGGCATCGGCGCAACACTAATTTTTAGTGGTTATGTTTTCAATTTGGCTTTTAGGACATTCACAGAAAGCCCATAGGAACTCTGGAAAGAGGCTTCCCAGCATCCGCTGCAGGACCAGCAGGTTCTGCAACAGCTTTTTGCCTGCTGCCATCAGACTGTTGAACTGTTAAACTCTAAACTGGACTCTGCATCACACCCGCAACATTATTTGCACCACCGACGTTGCTAAAACTTTTATAATCCTTTTAAATAGGACACAACCTAATGTTATACAGCATTTTGCACCATATTAATTTTGCACTACACTGAACGGTTCTATATTAAAGCCCTTTTGCACCATTATTTTTTAAACTGGTTTTCCTTTTCTCCTGTACTCTTTACAAAATGATCACAGGTGCATTTTTTAATGGTAATGATCATTACACTGTTTTAAGCTGCTCATTTCACTGTTTTAAAAACTGTAAGCAACATATACACTCGGTGTATACAAAATGACAATAAAGTTTATCTAAGTCTAAGAAATGTATTTTCATTGGTTACCTGAATGGACAACCAATAGGTGACCTTGTGCTGAAGCTTTGCTGATTCATTCACCCCCCACTAGCCCACAGGGAGCCACTGGAATATTCGGCTCTTTTATATTCAGTGTAACCAAACCCTTTAACGACAAAACAAATCTGCTGTTGATGGTCATAATTAATGAAGCCCATGGCAGCTGATAAGCTGGGCGTCCACCTGCTGATGCTGGGCTGAGTTGACATTTATTTAGGGTTAAAAATATTCACTATATGACAACAATAAGTCATTTCTGAGAAAGTCCACATTTGTTCTGCAGTGCTTCCAGTCCATCTGTATTCAAGCCATCAGGAGGCACAGCTGGTTTCCTCAGATCCGTATGTGGAAAGTGCTGTGAAGCAAAGATGTTTAGATGTAATATTTATGTTTTTTTATTGGAACAGTAATAACTACAAAGATCAATGCAGTTTATTGGGATTGTATTAACCAGTGCAACGTAGTGCATGACTTTATATTGGACGAAATGGAAGCTCAAGGATGCCTTCTACAAATAAAGTGTGGCAGCAGTTTGCACAGAGGAGAGCTGGTTGATTTATGCTCTTATCAGGTTTGCTCTTCTCGAGACAATTCCTGCCCTTTACCAAAGAGCTCTGGGTCAGCGTGGGTGGAGAACATCTGTAAACATCCATATTCAAGTCTTTCTCTACACCTGGGTTTGGTTCTGGACTTTGAATAGGCTTGCAGTAATAAATCATTTTGTACCAAAAACATTCAGTGTATCTATGAACAAACATTAAATCCTCATCATGCTGGAAGGTAAACGTCCACTCTGCTGTCAAGTCTTTTACAACGTTAAATGATTTTGGTCTGTAGCCCTAAATTGGGGCCTTGCATTTGCTCAAAGAAATGTTTTGAAACAGAAAAATTGAATTAAGAATTTGCAAAAAATAACAAAATAGTTTCTTAAAATATTTTCTGTTTTTTTTTTTACTGTTTAATATCCCTTTTTTTGTCTGCTTCCTGTTTTCAGCCAGATTATCTTTTATTTGATCATTTTTATTTTCTGAGCATGGCTTGAAGGCACAGATTTAGCAGCACAGTTTTCTTCAACACAGTGCATATTGCATTGAAACCCTCACAGAACAGCAGGCAGGATGTATAGCAAACTAAATTAACACGACCTGGCTTTTATTATTTAATTGCCACACTAAAGGCAACTGGTTGCCCTGGATTTCATTATCAGTATCACATGCATACAAATGCCCTCTGCACTGTTCAGGTTCCTTTTATTATTTCATTAAAAATTTTGGAAATCATAATTAGTATTCCTTCCACTCCACAGTTCTTAATTATTAATATTTGTTTGATGAATCCGCTCAAGATGTAAAAATAATTCAAAGGGTGTGAATACTTTTAACGCCACTAATACCTGAGGAAATCTGGAGCTCTGTTAATCATGTTTTGGAAATCCTCAAGCGACAGGCGTCCATCGTTGTCCAGGTCAGCCTCGTCGATCACCTTCTCACACACCATCTTCACCTCGTCTTCTGTCAGCTCGTTGCGAGTGAGCTTGTTCAGCGTCTTCTCTAGGTCTGACTTGCAGATGAAGTCGTCATTGTTGAAATCTGTAACAAGCAGACAATATAAACCAGATACTGTTTCATTTGAATTGCATGTGTCAAATGTGATCAGTAAGCTTCCACTAATTGGGGCTGTTGGGATCCAAATATATGGTGATGGTAAGTGAAGTACGCTAAAAAAGTAATCAGACAAATGGAAGAGTCACAAACAATCAAGTCAAAAGACACAATAGTTACTCATAGTGCAGGTTTCTGGCACAGCCCAGAGACTTTATTATATATATCAAAGCGCTTGATTTAAAAGATTCATCCATAGTAGGCATTTTTAAACAATATCATTATAACCTTAGTCGTAAGTCCTTTAAAAAGAGAGTGCATGCTGAATTGCACTCCTCTTCTCTGGTGTCATAATGTGTTCATGTACCTGTTTCATTGGCAGCTGTTGTAAACTAAGCTTTACTTCGTTAGTAGTGTTCCTTAAAACCTAATGGTAAAGCGTAAACTAGAGACTGGGACCAAGGGAGAAGGTTCTAACTTCAGCTAACCTAATAAATGTGACATAATGTTCAAAATATGGGTTTGTCTTAAGCCCTTAGTGGTTCAAGAACTAGAATAGAAGTAAGCAGGAAAAAAAGGAGAATTCATAAGAAGTATTTTGTGAAAGTAACCTTGTTATAAAAGAAGCAGGTGTCATAGGTGTGCATTTTGGTTGGCTAATTTAAAAAAAAAAAAAAACAGGAATAAATGCACTACAGTACCACATAAAGATACTTCCTATTCTAAGCAAGCAGCAGGCAGGCAGATGCCAACTCCATATTGGCTGAACACATGAGGGTCTGTAAACCCTCTCTGCCCTGGACTACTGCTATATGGACATAGTGAAAAACATCAGTTGCTGTCACATTATCCTACCATTTAAACAAAGACTTGATTAATGTGATCAGTTTGTGATGAATCTACTGTGATCTGCTGCTATTCAGTCACTCTAAGTATAAAAACATAAAAGCTTTCAACATTCATATTAGATTCATAGGAAAGAAGATATTTCAAGTATAGACTGCAGGATTTATTTATATATCATTATCTTAGCATCACTACATGGTTTATTGACATCAGCACAGGTTATGCTGCATGTTAAAATGGATAAAGCTGCATCAGTTAACATATAAACATGAATTTTCCATTTGTTTATAGAATATGAAACTCTTATTTTAATCTACATTTTTTAATACTGTACATAATTGCATGTCAAACAAAAGCTTCCTTTCCATTTCCTATCCTTGCATTGCTTTCCATTTACATTCTCCCTGTGAAACTTTACCGTAAATTTTAAAAGCATAATAGGCCTTTAGGTCACGAGGAGCCATCTCACTGAGGACTGAGAACATGTCCAAGAAGTCATCCAGAGTCATGTTTCCCTCTCCATCCTCAGAGAAAACCTCGGCGATCCTCTGCCGAAATGGGTTGTCCTGAAAAGACACCAAAAAATAAAAATTTCCTCAGCTGATTTTAAAACAAATTATACTTAAACCATTTGATTAATTGGTCTGTGGGGATCCCCTAAAACCATCTTCCTCAATATGGCTAAATAAAGGACAATTTCATTATCTTAAAAGAATGTTTTGATCATCCCTAGTTAAAAATGCTAACAATTCAATGTATACATTAAAAAAAAAATTTCAAAAGGTATAGCAAAGCAATATTAATATACATTAATGAATATAAAGGAAATACAACTTTCCTTTATATGCCATGAGCATTGAAAAAATAACATTTCCTTGTTCTTTTTTCTTCCTAAACGCTGTTCATTGTTTTAGTACATATGTCTCTGGCTAAAGGTATAGTGCAGGATTTTCATGAATTTTTGAGAAGACCCGTTTTAGACCCACTTTCAAAAAAAAATAAAAAATACACATGCACAACCCTGTACCCGCTCCTGAGAGGGAACGCCTATTAAACGTGTGCGAGAGCGTGCACAAGCCTGTTTCTCCTCGTGCAACGCTCATACAAGCTACTTTCCAAAAGAAGATTTGCAATTTTTCCACTATGTTAGACTCACCACTGGTAAGTTAAAATGGGGATGAGCATGTAGGACGGCCTTACGTAAACATATCACCAGAATGATTGACAATTAGGAGGACCACTTATTTTGATTATCCACCCGGAAAAAGAACATCCTCCACTATACCTTTACGTGTAAGGATGGGGGCTACAAAAGCAGGGCTTTAGCCCGGGACATCCCTGATGCTAGACCCGCCCCTGGTTACATGCTGTAGAATCAGGCCTCCAGGACTGTTTTCTCATTTTAATGGGTGAAAATGTTGAATAAAATCCCAGTTTGAATGACTTTAGTATTTTGTCCTGCTTACACCTTACCTCGGTGCCTTCTTGTAAACAGTAAATATGTTTACCTTTCTCGCCTGTACGTAAAGGGCCATATAATCGATCCATTTTAGCCAGTTAGTCCTCAGGGACCAAAGCAGTATTCTTCAAGTTTAAAGGAGTCAGATAACATATAACCCTTGGGTGAATTCTGCCGATTAGTCTGTCATTAATTATGGATCAGGAACAGAGGGGGAGAGCAGGTCTGCAAGGTTTTTATCGGATCAGTGGCTCTACCTTCAGCTCCGGCATGCTGCCAATCAGCTCGTATGGTAACTTCACATCTGGCTGGTTGGTGTAGTCAAGAGGAACGAGCTGCGGTGCCAAATCCCGATATCGATAGAACAGTCTAGGAAGGTCCAACACATTCCCTTTCAGTATTAAATTACAAATCATCTTTTAGATTATAAAACATTGATGAATATTGGTTACTATTAATAGACTTTCCTTTTACAAGCATTAAGCACTAAAAAGATTCAAATACAAAATAAGAAAATAAAAAACAAAACTTAAAAAGAATCTGATTTTAGTGAAAGTCGATCTCAGAGGGACGGGTCAGCTGAGAAAAGAAATGAAAGGAATCAGGATAAAACAGTGGAGGAAGAGAACTCAGCAGCCTCCATTTCAATCTGGAATTAAATATAAAAAAGTAATTTTTATTATAGGTTTACATTACTGCAGTAGAACTCCTATAAACTTGTTTTCCAGTTTTAGTCAACCCAGATCGCTTCATATGGGCAGGTTTAGGTAAAAAGCTTTTTTTGGGAACTATTTTGGGACTCATAAAAGTCGATGTACATTTGCCTCTTTTGCATTATTTGTTATTTTGTCTTTCCCATTTTTAAGAAGGACATTATTTTTGAGTGACTTGAGAAAGACATGGCATTTAACTAGAAGTTTGACAGCTGTCTGACTTATTCAATAAAAAATAAATTACGCATGCATGAAGAATTATATTTTATTCATTTTACAAAAATGATTTCAGTTGTGTAGAAATGCTGTTAATCTGCACTTTTCTTCACACTGCATAAATGTACTCAAACTAAAGGCTGCCTTATTCTGGATATGTTGGTCTAACATTGGATTACTTCAGCATGCAGTTTAACTGATTGATGTTTTTGATATGTTTAAGATTGGTGATGCTCACCTGAGAATTTCTTTCCTTGTAAAATATGTACAATCCTGCAAATACAAAGAGACAACCGTTTGAAATACAGAAATCCCTACTTTCACATATCCCTGCTCTATTTTATTTAAGTGCTGTGAAAATGTATTCCTCCTATTGCAGGGGTCTTTTTTTTAACCAATAACTAATTTAGTAAAAAAAAAATGTGTTTCTTAATTTTTGTTTTAAAAAGAAAAATAACTTAAAAACGCAGACAAATGAAAGTGCCTTGCTCATGAACACTGAACAAACAGGTGCAGAAGTCTGACTCAATATTTCCTGTACATCAGAAAACACCTGATTTCAGTCCTTATATATATATATATATATATATATATATATATATATATATATATATATATATGTATATTATTATTTTAATTTTTTTTTTGCATGTATACAAATCCATGTCAATTTTCCATTTTTATAACTTTTATTTAGACTTACTTTTGACAATTTCAATGTATTTTATTGGAAGTTGAATTTTCTTCCTTTAATCAAGGGTTAGGTACACTTTCAACCTCAACCATATACAAGCACATGAAAACATAAAATGCAGATTTTCAAACCGTGTATTTCAAAGCGTGGGCTCGTACCTGATTGCTGAGTCATAAATGACTTTTAAAATGCAACCAATCTTGCAAACAATCTTGCAAAGAACAGCAGACAGAAATTTCTCCACAGACATAAATGCAGCGTGTCAGTTATTGTAGACTCCAGTTTAAATGTACTTATCATTATTACATTTTATGCATTGGAGAGAGGAACAATAGGAAGAAATCTGTGGCGTCCTGTTAAGAGCAAATTCTTTATGATCTAAAATAAATAAATATTTATCAGCTTAAGTTTTTTTCCATGCATTAAACCAAGCTGCATTTGAAATAATTTTTATGTCTGTATGCAAAACACATCAAATGTAACTTCAGACATCTATGGACAGTGTTGTTTTTAGGTTGGGTAAATAGCACTTTTCTACTAAATCACATCAACAAACACTAAGAGTTGCAGTCTCTTGCCCTGGCTTTATTCATTTTCTCAATAAACCACTGGTTAAGAACAAATTTAATCTGCTTTGTCATCAAGGCTACAAATATAAAGGCTACAAACATCATGGTTATGCTTCAAATTATACAGAAAATGGGATCCATAACCAACCTGGTATGCATCAAGCTGCTGTGCTGTGAAGATGGTTTGTTTATTCCCCATTTCTGAGCCCTCAAGCTCCCAAACCACAGATCCATCTCTGCCTCAGCCTCCAGCGAAGGGTTTTTATTAGGGTGGCCCTGTCAGATATGAAATAGCAGGACAAAAGGAAGCCAGAGCCAAAGAGGAGATCGGGTGTCGAGCTGCAGCCGGGCCCTTTGCTTGCCACCATAATGGCAGCATTTCATCGTTTGCTCCATTGTGAATAGCAGCCCCTCTGATAATGAATGAGAGCTGTCGTCCAGCATCATGCCAAGTGGTTTCAACCCCCTTTGGTGCCACTCTATGGCCAACGCCTCGCTCACTGCTCAGGTTACATTCTTTACAGGCAAGGTTTTGTAAAGCACTGAAAGAAACGTTGATGGCTGACAACAACATTGTCAATGTTTTGTCTCAGCTCCACATTAAAACCTTTAGCAGAACTGCAGAGTTCCCTCAGTTCGTCTGGGCAAAAAGCCACCAGCTTAGCGTGTGCTTTAACTTCTGTTCAGTTTTAACATGATCTGGATACATTTTTAACACACTTTTTTTAACACACATTTTTTTTCGCTTTCATCAATCTACATATGCATTACCTAATAAGGTAAACTAGCCTGAGTTATTTTCCTATTTCTACTCCCTAAGTACAGTAAGATCTACGGCATCGTGTTTGAGGGCTTGCATGTGTTTTCTACTGAATCATGGAGTAAACAAAGAAATCCAGATACTGAAAGTTGTGCAAACACAAAAAACCAAAGCATATTTCTTTTATATATCTCAAATCAATATGTAACTGAAAGCACATGAAGGAGGATAACATGCAAACAGATGGAAATAAGCCCTACATTTCTCATCCTCATCTCTGTACAGCCAACAGGAGACACTGATGCTCTCCTCCTGAGGTGTTGACCATCAGAGCAGGATATTTTTAGATGTTACACTCCTGCTATGAACACAGAGAGGCTCAGGGTTTGGGTGGAACGCTTTAAAGCTGCATTTAGGGACTGATAAACCTAAGGTCCTGTTCCACAGACTGTTCCAAGTCTGTTCCTGCTAATGCTGCTCATCAGAATGAAGCAACCAGGCTCTCACCAGGCCTCCTCGACGCAGCAATGAGGAGTAGCACTCCACCAATAATGCACTGTTTTACAATGATCTGATGAAACTGATTAGAGGTAACATAATGCCTCATGTAGTGTCAATAAAGCCTTTCCAGCAGCTATGAGATTTATGCAGACTAATATTTTTCCATGCTGTCTATCATTCCTAACCCGCTCCCTCCACTGAAGGTTTGAGTCCGGCTGGTTTTCCATCACATGGAGTTGTGCAGAATACAAACTGGAAACCCCCAGGTCAAAATGGGTGCCACCTCCTAAAGTGGTGGAGAATGACAATGAATATCAGAAATTGGAAAAAATGTCAAATCCTCAGGAAAGAACTAGAGAGAGCCTGGAAGATGTATGCCACTGTTGGAATAACCTCGGAAACTTGGACTCAACACAGGTCAGTGTCTTGAATGTCGGGTTGATCACGACTAGTAGATAAAGTCACTGACTTGGTTCAAAGTCTAGTCCAATCCCAGAGGAGAGGAGTCCAGCAGGGAGATTGTCATCCGTTTGCAGCTGTAGCCGCTTCCAGACCCCCGAGTGATGATGAGCTGACGCCAGCCGATGTAGAGGGAGCAACAGTGTCCGTGAAGGGAATCCAAGCTGAGGTCAGTGAAACAGTCCGGGATCGGTAACCAGCAGAGTCCAGGAAAAACACTACAAAAACCACAGCAGGCAGAGAAGACAAGGGCAAGGCAAAAACTCAAATATCCAAAACGGGAAGCAGGTCAGAATCGGAATTACAGACAAAACTCACTTAACGATAGAGTTACTCTCATCACAGCTCAAATAATCTGGCGCCGATGGTAGGCTGGTAAACAACACAAACAGCTGAGGGAACGATTGGTATTTTTCAGCCGCCAGGCCAATAGACAGGTGAGCAGGAGAATATGAAAAAGCCAACCATCAGGGCCAAGAACATGACAACTGTGGTCATTGGAGCACTGGGGGCCATAACCCCCACACTGGAAAAGTGGCTCCAATAGATACCTGTAGAAACAACAAAGATCTCAGTCCAGAAATGCACCGATCTAGGGACTCCTAAGATGCAAAGTAGAACCCTCAACCTGCAGGCCTCTGGTAGAGAAGCCATCCGCCCAGTGGGAGAGAGATAGCAATTGCTTTTTGTTTTGCTTTTTTTTTTTTTATTAAAATACATTATACATATAATGTATCATTATATAAACATTATATAATGTACCAATGCTTCAAGGATTTGAAGAGCAAGACGTCTTCTTTAATCTTTTTTGCCTTTCTGCTTGTGTCAAAATTTACATCTAGCATAAGAGCATAAACTGTTCTTGACAGTATTGGTTTATAATTAATTAATTGAAGGTTTTATCCTACAAAACTATGTTTACCAATTTTTCTATATCGATTAAATGTTTACATTTCTATCACATATTTTGTTTTAATGTGATGCCTCAGTATTTTTAGGAATCCTATTTATTGACTAAACTTTTAGTATTCCTCAGAAACAGATGTGGTTGCATAATGTCACCAATAGAGGGCCACAAGAAACAGTTGTTGGTAGAATTAGTTTATTAAAAAAGTAAATTGAAGCTTTTGTATTATAAACGTTGCAAACATTGAAAATTGCATATAAACGATTTATTATTATTATTATTATTATTATTATTATTATTATTATATTTTTTTTACATCAACAACTGTGAAAGCTTTTTTACTGTGTGTCTTCTCTTTCCAAATTTGGTTTATTATGTGCAATTATTTTCTTGTATGTTATGGTATCATTCAAATATTCTACTGATAAGTTAAAAACTAAAACGTGCCTAATGAAAATACTTTCAAAAGTTGGAAATTTCTTGTTAGTATAACTCTTTAGTCATCACAAACATGACTTGCATTTTACTTTTGTCAACAATTCTGTCTTAGAAATCCTCAGCTATTCTATTTATTAGACTATTTAATATACATCCTACATATGTTTGCTATATCTAATAAAGCGATATTTGTTACAGAAATGTATAAGGATTAAAACGGTTAAATCATCCTTTAAAACAGCAGCAGTTAAATGTGAATAACATATCAATCTTCTTTATTTTTGGATGTTTTTTTTTTTTTTTTTTTTTTGAACTCCAGAGTACAGCTGCAACCCTGGAATTCTGCTGCAATTTTACATGCCAAATA